TCGAGTAATATTGGAATTAAAGGTATCATGTTTGGACTCATTTTAAAGGATTTTTCACGACGATTATAAATACGTCAAAATTGACGTTGACATTTTTAACCGGAAGTTGACCATAACTCCTTTAATATTCAAGATAAGTATGTCGTGTTTGTACTCATTTTAAAGGATTTTTAATGAAGATTACAAATACGTCAAAATTGAGGTTGATATTTTAAATCTGAATACATATACTTACAGGACATTCATAACATGATATATAATCGTACACAATATGTGCTATATACTTAGGACAGACTGGAAGAAACATTTACACTAGATTTTAAGAACACCTAAATAGTGATACTTCAGCTGTTTTTAAGCACATCGAAAAAACTTGATCTATTTGAGGAATACTTTATATGTATGTAAGAATAACAACAATAATTGTCTTATGAACGACCTAGCGGATGTTAATAATTATAAATTTTTCATCAAATATATGCAATAAATGATTTTTCCTTAAAATCTATTGATAGATGTTTTATATTTCTAGATATAGATGAGAAATAGAATTTAAGTTATAAAATAGATACAACATGTTTCCGCTTTCCAGAATGAGACATCTCCTTTATTCTCTCTTCAATAATTCTTTATCGAAATCAGTCTATCTCGTCCTTTTGTGTGAAGAGTACTCATTTTCGATTTGTTATATTTTGTTGTTAAGTTAAGCCCGCCGTTTATTTTACTTTCCTACATACATCATATTGATTTTTAAATATTCTTTAACAGATAATTATTGTAAGTACATTATTTGTACAATTGACCATTTTGTATTCCTTTTTTATTGATTTTTAGAACAACTTTGAGTCAAGATCATTCATCCCAAAGAAATTGATGTCATTTTTTGTTATTGTAGTTGTGTCTGAGGAAGACCACCATAGTATTTGTGATTAAATTTATGCCACCACTTACAGAAACACCCTGTATAAACCTAAAACGTACCAAGCGGTTTCTGTGCTTGTGATAGCTGTCATCAGTGTTCTGTGATAAAAATAATGTCTATTCTGAGAAGAATCTTTTATTACAATTATTCTTTTCTCCTTTCGATTTTCGAGATTGAAAAGTTTTAGGATTGTTGGTCGACAAAGTTTTAAAGGGTTATTTTGTTTTCTTACTAACTAATTTTAAGTGATTAAAACTTGGAAATGTTCATTAAACGTGATTTTAATTTTTTATATGATAAAGGTGGCTTTATAAGCTTTTATGGTTTATTATAATTAATTTTAAAGTTTTTGTAGTTTATGGGAACGATAACTTTGGTTGAAATTAGACCTTCTGGCTTTGTGGTGGGGGTTTGGATGTGGAATACTCTATGAGGGGGTCGGTTTGTGAGTTTCGGTTCTCTTTGGAATGCCGAACACGCCGCACGTCGCTACCCGGAGTATGGCAAATTTATCGATGCTCGGTTCACAATAAACGGGGGATGGACGCCCCAAAGAGGTGTCGACCACGAGATTTCCAATGATCAATACCCCCAAGAGTGGATTGTAAATAATTCAGATGTTTCAACGTATCTTATTTTATTTATAACCCATATTTGTAAGAAAAAATTTTTACAAAACAGGTAAGTTGGTTTACTAAAAAGTCAATTCTGGGTGAAAAACGCGGTCAACAAGTTCTAACTGTTTCAAGATCAATGTTCCGACATCCATAAAACAACCGAACAATTTATTTCAAGGTAATTTTCGAATGTAAACTCTCACAACACAATAATTTAACAAAAAGAAATATCTTTTTGTCTCATCTTATTAATGTAATAGGATTTATTTGCAGATATAAACCCAAATCTTCTTATCATGTCTCAATAATAGAATGGGCAAAAAACTATATATAATTTTACCTTAATAAATTTAATCCTGCCTTTAATAACTTAAACAATCACCACAAAATACACCCAGTCTCAATAAACAAACATTTAAAAATTATTGAATGAAAGACCCCACCTTTAACAACGCAAACGCGAACTGCAACAAATTCAAACAACATATTTGTGTTTATTACCATTTGAAAATGTTATTGTATCCCCGGAAATATTTTCCATACATTTACATTATTTCTAAGTGTTTAAATGAACCGAAACTGAACTCAACTGCGATTTTAAGATGACGATTTTTCTAGTAAAGCAAAGAGAGGGAGAATAAACGCTTCATTTTTGTCAATTTATTTAAAAAAAAAATACTAATTTTATCAGAATTATTTTATTATAATGTTTAAATTGTTATTAATTAAAATTTTTTAATTTAATTCAAAATTTTTATTAATAATAAAAATCAGCGCCATCTATTGGTAAACACCATAAATAATCATCTTTTTACAGGAATTAACTTCTAAATTAAATCAAATTAATAATTAAATACGAAACATAACGTTTAAGCATTAAAATGCTGAAGAATTAATCGTATTTGTATCAATAAAAATTTATAATAATTATTTAAAATTATAAATAGATAATTTAAGGAGTTATTCATAGAGGGCGCTATTATTGATACGTAAAAAGGACGCCAATTTTTTGTTGATGACGATTAACACATTTTTATGAAATTTTATGATTGAATTGAACTCAACCCAATCCACGACACAAATCGGTAAGTCATTTTATCATTTATCCATAACGATTTGATTAAAAAAAAGCGGTGAAAGTTGCAATTTAAACATGTCGATTTTTCTAGTAAAGTAAAGAGAGGGAGAAATAAACGCTTCCTTTTAGCCGATTTATTTAAAAGAAATACTAATTTTATCAAAATTGAATTGATTATTAATTCAAAATTTTTAATTTAATTATATTATATTTATTAATAATAATCAGCGCCATCTATTGGTAAACACCCTAAACAATCATCTTTTTACAAGAATTTGCCTGAAACTTCTAAATTAAATCTAATTAATAATTAAATACGAAACATAATGTTTAACCGTTAAAACACTCAAAAATGAATCGTATTTGTACCAATAAAAATTTATAATAATTATTTAAAATTATTAAAAGATAATTGAAGGAGTTGTTCATAGAGGGCGCTATTATTGATACGTAAAAAGGACGCCAATTTTTTGTTGATGACGATTAACACATTTTTATGAAATTTTATGATTGAATTGAACTCAATCCAATCCACGACACAAATCGGTAAGTCATTTTATCATTTATCCATAACGATTTGCTTAAAAAAAAGCGGTGAAAGTTGCAATTTAAACATGTCGATTTTTCTAGTAAAGTAAAGAGAGGGAGAAATAAACGGTTCCTTTTTGCCAATTTATTTAAAAGAAATACTAATTTTATCAGAATTGTTTTATTATAATTTTTAAATTGTTATTAATTCAAAATTTTTAATTAATTGTACAATTTTTTATGAATAATAATAATCAGCGCCATCTATTGGTAAAAACCATAAACAATCATCTTTTTACAAAAATTAACTTCTAAATTAAATCAAATTAATAACTAAATCCGAAACATAATGTTTAACAATTAAAACGCTCAAAAATGAATCGTCTTTGTTTCAATTTTTATAATTAATAATAATTATTTAAAATCATCAAAAGATAATTTAAGGAGTTTTTCATAGAGGGCGCCATTATTGATACGTAAGAAGGACGCCAATTTTTTGTTGATGAAGATTAACACATTTTTAAGAAATTTTAAGATTGAATTGAACTCAACCCAATCCACGACACTAATCGGTAAGTCACTTTATCAATTTTATCATTTATCCATAACGATTTGATTAAAAAAACGATAAAAATTGCAATTTAAACATATTACACAAATACAAGTTTAGTTGATACATATTTTCATCTTTATACCAAATATTATTAAAAACTAAATACATCGAATTAAGTTACATGTACTTCTGTACTAAATGATATATTTTTATTGTAAAATTATTAGTTATAATTTGTTATAAAAAGTAAACTGCCTTGAGACTGACATGAACATCGCCAGTTTTTCTTAAACAATTAAACGAAATTGTAACTGTTTTTTTTGATGTACAATGTAAGAACAGATTATGTATTAGCGTGAACGCAATGATTTTGTTGTTTTCGTATTAATGCGATTGTTGTGAAAATTTGTGTAAAATTAGTAATCCAAAATGACATTCTAAAAGTTGGGTAATTAGCTCATAGATGGCGCACCAAAAATTAAATTTTTATTTTTTAAATCGACCCTTTTTCCATTTTCTTTATACCTAGCGGTAAAGTAAACTAATTTGGTCCTTTACCTAACATTCCTTTTCGAGATAATTGACGGTTCAAAAGAAAACTCACCTATCTCAACATTCCTTTATGGTACAATTGACGTTTCAAAGGAAAACTGACCTACTTTAACATTCCTCCGTGGTATAATTTACGTTTAAAAACTAAACTGACCCATCTTAACATTCACACATGGTATAATTATGTTATAATTGACGTTTCAAAAGAAAACTGAGCTATCTTAACATTCCTGCATGGTATGAGTATGGTATAATTGACGTTTCAAAAGAAAACTGACCTATTTTAACATTCGTGCATGGTATAATTGACGGTATAAAAGAAAAGTGACCTGTCTTAACATTCATACATGGTATGATTATGTTATAATTGACGTTTTAAAAGAAAACTGACCTATTTTAACATTCATGCATGGTATAATTGATGGTATAAAAGAAAAGTGACCTTTCTTAACATTCATACGTGGTATAATTATGGTATAGTTGACGTTTCAAAAGAAAACTGACCTATCTTAGCATTCCTGCATGGTTGATTATGGTATAATTGACGTTTCAAAAGAAAACTGACCTATTTTAACATTCCTGCATGGTATAATTGACGTTTCAAAGAAAAATTGACCTTTTGTTAACATTTCTGCATGGTACTATTGACGTTTAAAACTAAACTGACCTTACCTAACGTTCTTTACCTGGTTGATTGCCATAAATGAAAAATTCAGTAATACAGAAAATATATATATTTATAATTTATTTAAAATTTAAAAAAAAAACAACTTTTGAAATTGATAAATTCGACGCGAAACCATTTTCAAATTTTTTGAGCTTTCTCTCGTTTACGCGGTGGGCTCACTTTTGGTCTTAAATGATTCGGGAGGAAATCTTTCAACAATGTTTACATCATCAAAACTTACTTTTCGGCTTTTCTCATTTTTCGTGTCAACAAAATCCTCAATTTTATCTGTTTCATCCTCCGAAACGCTTTTTTCAAAATTTTCGTTAAGCTTCGCTGAATTTTTTCTTAAAAAAAATATTTAAATTGTTTTTTTGTGAATTAATTAAACTTAATATTTTTATTACCCCTTTTTAACTTCTTCAGTTGAAGTTTCGGCCATTTCAACCCACTCCAAATCCCGACTCAAAATATCTTCGTACTCATAATTATAAAGATGAGATTTGATGAAAAACTTTTTATCTTGCGGTTCCGGCCGAATTGTCGATAAACCTTCCTTAAACGAATACTCGCAAATTTTCGTGGCCAAATCGATGGAAAGATTTTTTAACAGTTCTAAGCGCGGAAAAATCCTTCCTGCTTTTAAATCTTCGTAAGTTACTTGTTCGGCGATGCATCGAGCCGCCACACCGAAAAGTTCATCGGGAATATTTTTTAAACCGGATGCCATTACTCCCAATGTTAAACCGGGATAAATTAAGCAAGATGATGCGTGACCGGGAACTGAAGTTTTATTCAAAATTTCGGGTTTGAAAATTGAAGATGTTGCTAAAATTGCTTTTCCCTAAAAAAAATAATTAAAGTACAGTAAAACTTCGATATAACGGATTAATAAAGGCACTAGAACTAACGCTAGACCTAGAACTAAGAAGTTTCGGGTTTAGCCGTGCGTCTTCAGAGATGTTATATTTGGGTTAAAAAATAAAAAGTTAGGTTAGAAATTGTTAAATGTCAAAATTAAATATAACAATTTTTTAATAAATATTAAAATGATTTTAATAAGAATCAAAAATGCTTTAATTTGATACCAAACATGACGTATTTGCGTTAAAAAATAAAAAAAGTTAGGTTAGAAACTGTCAAATGTCAAAATTAGATATAACGATTTTTTGATAAGTATTATAATTATCTTAATAAGAAGAATGCTTTAATTTGATACCAAACATGATATTTTTGGGTTAAAAAATAAAAAGTTAGATTAGAAACTGTTAAATGTCAAAGTTAAATATAACGATTTTTTGATAAATATTGAGATGATCTTAATAAGAATCAAAAATGCTTTAATTTGATACCAAACATGATACAATTGGGTTAAAAAATAAAAAGTTAGGTTAGAAATTGTCAAATGTCAAAATTAAATATAACAATTTTTTAATAAATATTAAAATGATCTTAATAAGAATCAAAAATGCTTTAATTTGATACCAAACATGACGTATTTGCGTTAAAAAATATAAAAAGTTAGGTTAGAAACTCTCAAATGTCAAAATTAAATGTAACGATTTTTTGATAAATATTGAAATGATTGTAATAAGAATCAAAAATGTTTTAATTTGATGCCAAACATGATACATTTGGGTTAAAAAATAAAAAGTTAGGTTAGAAACTGTCAAATATCAAAATTAAATATAACAATTTTTTAATAAATATTGAAATGATCTTAATAAAAATCAAAAAATGCTGTAATTTGATACCAAACATGACGTATTTGAGTTAGAAATAAAAAAAGTTAGGTTAGAAACTGTCAACTGTCAAAGTTAAATGTATCGATTTTTTGATAAATATTAAAATGATCTTAACAAGAATCAAAAATGCTTTAATTTGATACCAAACATGATAGATTTGGGTTAAAAAATAAAAAAGTTAGGTTAGAAACTGTCAAATGTCAAAATTAAATATAACGATTTTCTGATAAATATTGAAATGATCTTAATAAGAATCAAATATGCTTTAATTTGATACCAAACATGATATATATGGGTTAAGAAATAAAGAAAGTTAGGTTAGAAACTGTCAAATGTCAAAATTAAACATCGACTTTTTTGATAAATATTGAAATTATCTTAATAAGAATCAAAAATACTTTAATTTGATACCAAACACAATATGTTTACGTCAAAAAATAAGAAAGTTAGGTTATAAACTGTCAAATGTCAAATAATCGCCATTTTTTTTTGTTAAATATTAAGATATCTCGATAACGGTTGGAGATAAATAGGCCGAGTTTGGGTTCATTTTAAAGGATTTTTAATTTCCTATCCATTTATGTTAAAAAAGGAACACCTTTATAACTAAAAAAATTTTCTGAATTGATCCTTATTAAGAAACAAATACAAAGTTTGGTTATGTCCGATGAATCGGCCGTGTTCAGCCGTGTTGGTCGTATGCAGTGTACGTTAGTAGACGCATGTTTATAACTTTGGATTGGTCTGACACTGACCACTACTCGTGCATCTAGGTCTAGTGTTAGTTTTAGTTCGAGGGAAATATTTAACAACCTAGTGCAACTTAGCACTGTCACTAGAAGTAAAACTAGACCGAAAACTAGAAACATTCAGGTTTGAAACGTACGGCTGAACCCAAATAATTCTAGTTCTAGGTATAGTGTTAGGTCTATACAGTAACAGTGCGATAATTAATTAACACACTGTAGATATTATTAATAGTATGACTTAAAAATATTTTGTCCGTTATATCGAGATTTTTTTGATAAATATTGAAATAATCTTAATAAGAAACAAAAATGCTTTAATTTGATACCAAACATGATATATCTGTGTTAAAAAATAAAATAGGTTAGAAACTGTCAAATGTCAAAGTTAAATGTAGTGATTTTTTGATAAATATTGAAATTATTTCAATAAGAATCAAAAATGCTTTAATTTGATACCAAACATGATAGATTTGGGTTAAAAAATAAAAAAGTTAGGTTAGAAACTGTCAAATGTCAAAATTAAATATAACAATTTTTTTATAAATATTGAAATGATCTTAATAAGAATCAAAAATGCTTTAATTTGATACCAAACATGATAGATTTGGGTTAAAAAATAAAAAAGTTAGGCTAGAAACTGTCAAATGTCAAAATTAAATGTAACGATTTTCTGATAAATATTGAAATGATCTTAATAAGAATCAAATATGCTTTAATTTGATACCAAACATGATATATATGGGTTAAGAAATAAAGAAAGTTAGGTTAGAAACTGTCAAATGTCAAAATTAAACATCGACTTTTTTGATAAATATTGAAATTATCTTAATAAGAATCAAAAATACTTTAATTTGATACCAAACACAATATGTTTACGTCAAAAAAGAAGAAAGTTAGGTTATAAACTGTCAAATGTCAAATAATCGCCATTTTTGTTTGCTAAAAATGAAGATATCTCGATAACGGTTGGAGATAAATAGGTCGAGTTTGGGTTCATTTTAAAGGATTTTTAATTTCCTATCCATTTATGTTAAAAAAAGAACACCTTTATAACTAAAAATTTTTTCTGAATTGATCCTTTTTAAGAAACAAATACAAAGTTTGGTTATGTCCGATTAATCGGCCGTGCTCAGCCGTGTTGGTCGTATGCAGTGTACGTTAGTAGACGCATGTTTATAACTTTGGATTGGTCTGACACTGACCACTACTCGTGCATCTAGGTCTAGTGTTAGTTTTAGTTTTAGTTCGAGGGAAATATTTAACAACCTAGCGCAACCTAGTCACTGGAAGTAAAACTAGACCTAAAACTAGAAACATTCGGGTTTAGCCGTCTAACGAAGCGTACGGCTAAACCCAAATGATTCTAGTTCTAGGTATAGTGTTAGGTCTATACAGTAAGAGTGCGATAATTAATTAACACACTGTAGATATTATTAATAGTATGACTTAAAAATATTTTGTCCGTTATATCGAGAATTTACTGTATTATAAAAACATACTTGAGTGTGATGATATATGTCTTGATAAAACGAAGAATTTGAGTTTTCGTTTAAAGCGAAAATGACAGGTTTTTGATTAACTTCGGCCATTTGATATAAAACGTCGGGTTTAAAGAACGTTTTCGCCTCGGAATTGCCAATTAGCACGTTTGGTTTGATTTTATTGATAACATCAACCGGATTTTGGGTTGGTTCGAAATCTTTGGCATAAATCACTTTGTCCCCCGTAAAAAGTTTGCCTTCTATTCTCGCCTGAGTCAATAAACCATCGTTATCGAACATCCAAATATTATTTTTTATCATTTCCGGTGATAAATTCGACCCGTTTTCTTCCATTATGTGTTTAACTAAGGTGTTTGCGATTTCAAATGTTGTTTCGTCAATTCCAAGGAATAACATGGTGTAATCTTTGATGGGTTTATTTAAAATTGCCTCAGAAGCCATTAAACCAGCTAAAACGACGGCTCCTTTGCATTGTAAGTCGTCGATTAAAAAGCAACATTTTTTTTGGTACTTTTTAAGAAACGTCAATGAATTTTCCCTGTTAAATCCTTCAAATTGAATGATTGTGTTTTGGCCAAATTGATTTATTATTGAGGTGATGACTTCGTCGATAAAATCTAAATAAGTTTGCCCCGTAATTCTTTTTTGGCGTAGTCCCAAATAAGAGGGGTCTTTTAAAAGCTTTTCGTTATTAGTTCCAACGTCTAAAGTTATTGGGAGACATTGATGAGGTTTTATTCCGCTTATTCCTGTATATAAAGTCGATTTTCCGACGGGAAATAACATGCTATTTACACCCATATCGCCCAAATTTGGTTGCAAATTTTCACCGTCGGTTGCAATAACAATTTTGACATCACTTTCGGGCCAGTTTTTAAGCACCTCAGGGATTCGGCCGATATCTAAGTTGTTTAAGAACAACCCTTTTGGTTGGGTGAAAAGTAATCCGTAGTTATTACACATTTTGTTTATTGTGGGGGTGTAAATAATCGGAAGTAAATCACTGAGATTTTCGTTTATAACTTTATAAAAAAGTTTTTCGTTTCTTTCTTGGAGATCGTATAAAAAAATTGATTTTTTAACGTCATCTCCTGAGAATGTTTTTAAACGTTCTTTGCATAATTGGAGTTGATCTTCTTGGGTTAATATGGTTGATGGTAAAAGACCATGGATTCCGAGAGATCGCCGTTCTTCTAACGTAAAAGCTGCATCCTAAAACAATAAAAAAATCAAAATTAATTAATTAATTGGGGTAATAATCACCTTGTTGATTTTTGAATTCTTTAAATATTCTATCCCTTTCAGCGAAGCTGATCGAACGAAATTAATCCGATTTTGTTTTAGAGCTGAACACAACGAACGTTGAATTAAAGATTTAACAAATTGAATCGATGCCATTCCCCATATGTTCAAAACTTTATCTTAAAAATTGTAAATCAAAAAATTCTCCATGACGTAATTTCGATATTCCCAAAAAAATTGATGACATTTCGAGTCAGTTTTAATAAAAATCCATAACAACACTAAAACATTAATAATTTTTGTCAAATTTTTATTTTAAACAATTTACAAAAATGTTTTTTCAAAAATTAAAACCATCGCGAATCATAAAGTTTTTAAAAAATTTCCATCATAACGATGCCGTTTGTCCATCGACTTTAAGCGGGATGGATTATTTAACGGATCCCCGGTTAAATAAAGGATTAGCTTTCACGTTGGAGGAACGACAAATTTTGGGGATTCACGGTTTGCAACCGGCGAGGGTTAAAACTCAAGAGGAACAAATCGAACTTTGCAAAATATCTTTATCTAGATATACGGACTCGTTAAATAAATATCTTTATTTAAACAATTTACACGAACGAAACGAAAGGAATTTTTATCGATTGATTAGCGAGAATATCGAACAGATTTTACCTATTGTTTATACACCAACGATTGGGTTGGTTTGCCAAAAATTTGGATTGGTTTATAGAAGACCAAAAGGATTATTTATCACCATTCATGATAAAGGATATATTTATCAAGTTTTAAAGAATTGGTACGTTTATTTATTTACATTTTTTTATAACAAACAGTATCTATCCAAAATTCTAACCCCACTTTTTATAATCTTATTTATCTGTCATTTTTTGACATAACTAAGGTTCGGGTAAAACAGATTACTGTAAATAAAAATTACCCTTTTCAATGTTAAATTGTTGAATATTTTTATCCTTGAGTTTTGTCAACTTAAAATTGACAGATAAACAAGGCTACCAACATCTTCTTCTTTATCACTTCCACTAGACAGAGACTAAAAATGTAAGACTTCTCAAAATAGACAGGTGCAAACTATTGAAAATTGTTTGGTGCCTGTCCATTTTTAGCACAGAACACATGATGACAGATATCACAAGCACAGAAGCCGCTTGGTACGTTTTACAATTATACAGGGTGTTTCTGTAAGTCGTGGCATAAAATTAATCACTAAAATTAGAGACAAAATGATGACGATTCGTGTAAAAATTTTGGAAGAAAATAGTCTAGAGTTTGATTTTGTACTTTTAAACTGGTTTTTATTTTATATTGAATTTAAGTATCTTTTAGACACTCTACAAATAGATTAACATCTCTCATCTTATCCATTTTACAAACAAGTTTCTTAATATTTCTTTTTGTTTTGTTAAAAAAGTTCACATATCACAATTACGTTCACGACGGATGTTCATAACTTGAATCTCCGGCACAGATTTTGTTTAAACATTCCTTAGGTCAATAGGTCTTTATTTTGCGCAATTTTATTTTTGTTGTGTTTAATTGGAATGTGGCTTTTTATTTTATTTTGTTGTATTTTTTTTTATTACAACAGTTTATATATTATTTACTTTAGTCATTTTTATAACGGTTATTACTGCGGCCTTTCGATGTTTGCCAACCTCATAGGGTGCAAATTAAATCAGCGGCACTTTTGCCTTTTCAGCTCTTGCACCCATTGAACTTGAATAATGAATTGTATATTTCTTGACTGATTCTAATTTTGCTATTTATTTGGCTCAATAAAGTATTATTATTATTATTATTATATCAAAGTCGATATCAGATCATTTACTAACTTATAAAATTAAAGCTTAAAAAGCTGTAAAATTACAGGTTAAAATTTAAGAACGCTCTTTTTTAACAAAAGAAATATTAAGAAACTTGGGAAAAATTCAAGAATCACCATGTGGCTTAAAAATCGACGCCTGTTCTTAATAAATGTGAAATTACCCAAAAAGACACGTTGAAAATAAAAAGAAAGTACGGAAAAGTTATAAAACAGTTATAAAACTTCTATTATATGATAATTAACTTCAGATTTAAAATCTCAACCTAAATTTTGACATATTTGTAATATTCGTTAAAAATCCTTTAAAATGAGTACAAACACGACATATTTGTCTTCAATATTAATGAAGTTATGGTCAACTTCCGGTTAAGAATGTCAACGTCAATTTTGACATATTTGTAATCGTCGTGAAAATTCCTTGAAAATGAGTCCAAACATGATACGTTTAATTCCAATATTTCTCGAGGTATAAGCAACTTCCGGTTTGAAATGTCAACGTCATTTTGATATATTCTTAATTTTTATAAAATGTCTTAATATTTGTGATAAAAACAAAACTATAATAACAAAAAAATAAAAAATTAAGGTTGGTATTCATATTTAAAAATTAAATTGCTATCTTCATTGTTGCTAACTTCGGGTTTAATGTTTTTTATTCTAACTTTTTTGTTTTTTGAGATAGGTCCGTCTTGTTTGGACTCATTTTAAAGGTTTTTTTAATAAAGAATTCATAAAAGAACACCATGAAGTTGTCCATTTGTCTATTATATGATAACTAACTTCCGGTCTTAAATGTCAACCTCAATTTTGATATATTTGTAATCTTCAATAAAAATCCTTTAAAATGAGTACAAACATGACATATTCATCTTCAATATTAATGAAGTTATGGTCAACTTCCAGTTAAGAATGTCAACGTCAATTTTGACATATTTGTAATCGTCGTGAAAAATCCTTTAAAATGAGTCCAAACATGATACGTTTAATTCCAATATTACCCGAGGTATAAGCAACTTCCGGTTTCAAATGTCAATGTCATTTTGACATATTCTTAATTTTTTATAAAATGTCTTAATATTTGTCACAAAAGCAAAAATATAATAAAAATTAAGGTTGGTATTAATATTTAAAAATTAAATTGCTATCTTCATTGTTGCTAACTTCAGGTTTAATGTTTTTTATTCTAACTTTTTTGTTTTTTGGGATAAGTGCGTCTTGTTTGGACTCATTTTAAAGGTTTTTTAATGAAGATGACAAATATGTCAAAATTGACGTTGACGTTTCAAACCGGAAGTGATTGTATTTCTATTAATATTAAAGTTAAATAGGTCGAGTTTGGACTCATTTTAAAAGATTTTTTATGAAATTGACAAATATGTCAAAATTAAAAGATGACAGTTCGAACTTTTTTGTTTTTTGAGATAAATACGTCAAGTTTGGACTCATTTTAAAGGTTATTTTATGAAGATTACGAATATAATAATAAAATTAAAGTTGACATTGACAACTGAAAGTTTTTTTTCACGACTAAACCCGAATGTTTTTAGTTCTCGTTCTAGTTTTAGTTCAATAAAAATATACAACATATTAATATCTTATGCTACCTACCACTGCCACTAACAGAACACGAACTGATAACCTCCAAAACACGATCAGCTGTTTATATCAACTTCACAAACTAATGTCAATTATTCAAATTTGACCAATCACGTTTCATTTCCGTTTCTAATGTTAACACTCAGGGGCAGGGTTGCCAGGTTACACACATAGAATGTCGTGAGCTATGTCATAAAAAATCGTGAAATGTTGAAATTTATTTAAAAATCACTCAATTTTAATAATATATGTTACATATAGGCATAGGATTCAAGTAAAATAGTTTAGACAACGTTTGTATATAAAAGTGATATAATTAAAAGGAAATAAAATGACAATTTAAGTAATTTCTTAGCGCCATCTAGTGGCGAATAGATGTAACTAAAGAGAAATTTACAGTAACCTACAATTTTAGTTAAAAATGCTTTGATTTTACTTTGATTTTATTAACACTAAAATTAATTAAAGGTAGTAAAGAGATTAAAGGTGATATCATGAGATCTCACGATAAATCGAGAGACCTGGCAACCTTGCTCAGGGGTACCATCTATTTTCTATCTTGTAGGTTGCTGTATCTAACAGATTTAACTCGACATTGATAAACCGGCCCTAAGTGTCGTATCTAATTCGGTTCTTACACGTATGATGCAAATCGGACTTGAAATCGTATAACGTGATTGGCGCTTAGCTTTATTCTTTAAAACAAATGGTACTTTAGGTCTTTCGGTACTCTGCATTTTTTCTAAGATAAGATACACCTTTACTTACCAGACAGCATGAAAATCTCTAAAAACGATAAAATGTCGCTTAGTCAAGTGATGTATAACGCGGTCCAATTCACCAACCTACAACAAATAGTGTCTATCCAAAATTCTAACCCCACTTTTATCATTTTGTTTATCTGTAATTTTTTGACATAAGTGAGGTTCGGTTAAAACAGATTACTGTAAATAAAAATGTAACCCTTTTCAATGTTAAATTGTTGAATATTTTTAGATTCTTCTACTATCCTTGAGTTTTTTCATCTTAAAACTGACAGATAAGAAAGGCTATCGACATCTTCTTCTTTATAACTTCCTTTAGACAGAGGCCACGTTACCTCGGGACAACTATTCAGGTTATACACCATAATAATTCATATTTACGAAAATTCTGAATTTATTTTACTTAACAATAATTCACCAACCTACAACAAATAGTGTCTATTCAAAATTCTAACCTCACTTTTCTCATCTTGTTTATCTGTCATTTTTTGACATAAGTAAGGTTCGATTAAAACAGATTACTGTAAATAAAAATATAACCGTTTTCAATGTTAAATTGTTGAATGTTTTTAGATTCTTCTACTATCCTTGAGTTTTTTCATCTTAAAACTGACAGATAAAAAAGGCTACCAATATCTTCTTCTTTATAACTTCCCTTACACAGAGGCCACGTTACCTCGGGACAACTATTCAGGTTATACAACATAATAATTCATATTTACGAAAATTCTGAATTTATTTTACTTAACAATAATTCACCAACCTACAACAAATAGTGTCTATTCAAAATTCTAACCTCACTTTTATCATCTTGTTTATCTGTCATTTTTTGACATAAGTAAGGTTCGATTAAAACAGATTACTGTAAAGAAAAATAACCCTTTTCAATGTTAAATTGTTGAATATTTTTAGATTCTTCTACTATCCTTGAGTTTTTTCATCTTAAAATTGACAGATAAAAAATGCTACCAACATCTTCTTCTTCTTTATCATTTCCCCTAGACAGAGGACAACTGGAGTCAAGTTATACAACATAATCATTCACATTTACCAAAAATTATGAATTTATTTTACTTAATAATAATACCAACCTACAAAATAAACAACACAACCTCAATAAACATTAACAAATCAATATAATTTGTTGTAGGCCTGAAAATGATGTGAAATTAATTTGTGTAACGGATGGTGAAAGAATTCTAGGTTTAGGTGATTTAGGAGCTTCCGGAATGGGAATAGCTATAGGAAAATTGTCGGTTTGTACGGCTTTGGCTGGTGTGGATCCTTCGATTTGTCTCCCCATTGCTTTAGACGTTGGAACTAACAATGAGACTCAATTAAACGATCCTATTTATGTGGGTCTCCGTGAAAAACGCATTTCCGGTTCATTATACGACGAATTTCTCGATGAATTTATGGCGGCGGTTGTGAAAAAATACGGACAATACACGCTAGTACAATTTGAAGATTTCGGTAATAAAAACGCGTTTCGTCTTTTGGACAAATACAAAAAGAAATATTGCACTTTTAACGATGATATACAAGGAACTGGGGCTGTTGTTGTAAGTGGTTTTATGACATCGGAAAGAGTTACGAAAAAATCGATGAAAAATTGTAATTATCTTTTTTTCGGTGCTGGTGAAGCATCGATTGGAATTGCAAATTTAACCGTTAGGGCATTAGAAAAACAAGGATTAAATTACAAAGAAGCTTGCGATAAAATATTTCTTTTCGACATCGATGGTTTAATTACAATTAATCGAGATTTAGACGAACACAAAAAGAAATTCGCTAAAAATTTACCGAAAACAAGAAACTTAATGGAATTAATTGAAACGATAAAGCCCGATTTTTTAATTGGAGCTTCGACAGTTTCGGGGGCTTTTACACCAGAAATTCTTCAAAAATTAGCTAGGATTCATAAACGACCTGTTATTTTTGCTTTAAGTAATCCTACGCATTTAACGGAATGTACTCCCGAAGAAGCTTTAAAGCACACCAACGGCCAAGCTTTAATCGCAACTGGATCTCCTTTTCCTAAATTTTCTTTTAATGGTGCCACTTTTAAACCATCTCAATCAAATAATGCTTATATTTTTCCTGGAATGGCTTTGGGAATTATTGAAACTCAACTTAAACATATCGAAGATGATTTATTTTTAGTTGCCGCTGAAACTTTAAGTAATCACGTAACGGATGAAGATCTTCAATTTGGATCTCTTTATCCTCCTTTAACGAAAATTAAAGAGATTTCGCTTAGAATTGCTACGAATATAATGAAATATTCGTTTAAAAAGGGTTATTCAGGTTTGTATCCGGAACCAGATGATAAAGAAAGCTTTATTAGGAGCAAATTGTATGATTATTTTTATAAACCTTCTTTGCCCAGTCAGTGGAGTTGGCCACAACAAAGCGGCAAACCAAAAGTTTTATTATAAACCTTAATAAATAATTTTAATTCACTTTTTTGACGTTTAATTTAACCAATAACTCCAAGTTGAATTAAATAATTCTGGATTAGCTCTCGGGTCGATGCCTTTATTTTGTTGCGGGATTAATTGTCGGTTAAAAAAATCGATTCTTCCTTTTAATTCGTTAACTAAGTTTTTGTTGGTTTCGGATAAATTGATTCTTTCGCACGGATCTTTGTATAAATCGAACAGGCATAAATCGCAGGTTATGTTGTAATTGGAGAATCCCCGGCAGTTTTTGGTCGAGGTGATTTTTCGTATTTGCAAAACATCTTCGGGTTTTAATGTGAATTCTTTTTTGTTTAAAACTAAGTTGGTCGGGCTGTTTAGGATCGATTCGACGTCGTAAAATCCGTCCTCTTTTAATCTACCCGAAACTCCGTGGTAATCGTCAAAATTTCCGTTCATCATAACGCCTAAAAGAAAATAATTTAATTAATTTTGATGAATTGAGGTGACCTTGAATTAGATATAAGCAAAAAGTGTTCAATGAAATATACAATCTAACGTTGAATAACAGTTAAAACTAGAACTAACACTAAAAAAACTAAAAATGGGTTAAAAAATAGAAAGTTAGGTTAGAAACTGTCAAATGTCAAAGTTAAATGTAACGATTTTTTGATAAATATTGAAATGATCTTAATAAGAATCGAAAATGTTTTAATTTGATACCAAACATGATATATTTGGATTAAAAAATAAAAAAGTTAGATTAGAAACTGTCAAATGTCAAAGTTAATGTAACGATTTTTTGATAAATATTGAAATTATTTTAATAAGAATCAAAACTGCTTTAATTTGATACCAAACATAACGTATTTGAGTAAAGAAATTAGGTTAGAAACTGTCAAATGTCAAAATTAAATATAACAATTTTTTAATAAATATTGAAATGATCTTAATAAAAATTAAAAATGCTATAATTTGATACCAAACATGATATATATGGGTTAAAAAATAAAGAATGTTAGGTTAGAAACTGTCAAATGTCAAAGTTAAACAACAATTTTTTTGATAAGTAATGAAATTATCTTAATAAGAATCAAAAATACTTTAATTTGATACCAAACACGATATGTTTACGTCAAAAAATAGGAAAGTTAGGTTATAAACTGTCAAATGTCAAATAATCGCCATTTTTTTTTTGCTAAAAATTAAGATATCTCGATAACGGTTGGAGATAAATAGGTCGAGTTTGGCTTCATTTTAAAGGATTTTTAATTTCCTATCCATTTATGTTAAAAAAAGAACACCTTTATAACTAAAAAACATTTCTGAATCGATCCTTATTAAGAAACAAATACAAAGTTTGGTTATGTCCGATTAATCGGCCGTGCTCAGCCGTGTTGGTTCGCATGTTAATAACTTTCGATTGATCGGACGCTGACCACTACTCGTGTATCTAGGTCTAGTGTTAGTTCCACGTTTAGTTCAACAAAAATATACAATAATCTAGCGCTGATTAGCAGTTAAAACTAGAACTAACACTAGATCTAGAACTAGAAAGTTTCGGGTTTAGCCGTGCGTCTTCAGAGATGTTATATTTGGGTTAAAAAATAAAACAGTTTGGTTAGAAAGTGTCAAATGTCAAAATTAGATATAACGATTTTTTGATAAATATTATAATTATCTTAATAAGAATCAAAAATGCTTTAATTAGATACCAAACATGATACATTTGGGTTAAAAAATAAAAAGTTAGGTTAGAAACTGTTAAATGTCAAAGTTGAATATAACGATTTTTTGATAAATATTGAAATTAATTTAATAAGAATCAAAAATGCTATAATTTGATACCAAAAATGATATATTTGGGTTAAAAAGTAAAAAAGTTAGATTAGAAACTGTCAAATGTCAAAATTAAATATAACGATTTTTTTGATAGATATTGAAATAATCTTAATAAGAAACAAAAATGCTTTAATTTGATACCAAACATGATATATTTGGGTTATAAAATAAAACAGTTTGATTAGAAACGGTCAAATGTCAAAATTAAATATAACGATTTTTTGATAAATATTGAAATTATCTGAATAAGAATCAAAAATGCTATAATTAGATACTAAACATGATATATTTGGGTTAAAAAGTAAAAAAGTTAGGTTAGAAACTGTCAAATGTCAAAATTAAATATAACGTTTTTTTGATAAATATTAAAATGATCTTAATAAGAATCAAAAATCCTTTAATTTGATACTAAACAAGATATGTTTGAGTTAAAAAATAAAGAGTTAGATTATAAACTGTCAAATGTCAAAATTAAATATAACGATTTTTTTGATAAATATTGAAATAATCTTAATAAGAAACAAAAATGCTTTAATTTGATACCAAACATGATATATTTGGGTTATAAAATAAAACAGTTTGATTAGAAACTGTCAAATGTCAAAATTAAATATAACGATTTTTTGATAAATATTGAAATGATCTTAATAAGAATCAAAAATGCTTTAATTTGATACCAAACATGATATATTTGGGTTAAAAAATAAAAAAGTTAGGTTAGAAACTGTCAAATGTCAAAATTTAATATAATGATTTTGAGAAATACTGAAACGATTTTAATAAGAATCAAAAATGCTATAATTCGATACCAAACATGATATATTTGGGTTAAAAAATAAAAAAGTTAGGTTAGAAATTGTCAAATGTCAAAATTAAATGTAACGATTTTTTGATAAATATTGAAATGATCTTATTAAGCATCAAAAATGCTTTAATTTGATACCAAACATGATATATTTGGGTTCAAAAATAAAAAAGTTAGGTTAGAAACTGTCAAATGTCAAAATTAAATGTAACGATTTTTTGATAAATACTGAAATGATGTTAATAAGAATCAAAAGTGCTTTAATTTGATACAAAACATGATATATTTGGGTTAAAAAATAAAGAGTTAAATTATAAACTGTCAAATGTCAAATAACCGCCATCTTTTTTTTGCTAAAAATGAAGATATCTCGATAACGGTTAGAGATAAATAGGTCAAGTTTGGGTTCATTTTAAAGGATTTTTAATTTTCTATCCATTTATGTTAAAAAAGAACACCTTTATAATTAAAATATTTTTCTTAATTGATCCTTATTAAGAAACAAATACGACTTTACCCGAGTAATACAAAAATTTGGTTATGTCTGACTACTCGGGCGTGCTCAGCCGTGTTGGTCGGATGCAGGATGATTTTTTTTAATAAATATTGATTCCAAACATAATACATTTGGGATAAAATATAAAAAAGTTAGGTTAGAAACTGTCAAATGTCAAAATTAAATATAACGATTTTTTGATAAATATTGAAATTATCTTAATAAGAATCAAAAATGCTTTAATTTGATACCAAACATGACGTATTTGAGTTAAAAAATAAAAAAGTTAGGTTAGAAACTGTTAAATGTCAAAATTAAATATAACGATTTTTTGTTAAATATTACAATTATCTTAATAAGAATCAAAAATGCTTTAATTTGATACCAAACATGATGCATTTACGTTAAAAAATAAAACAGTAAGGTTAGAAAATGTCAAAGTTAAATGTAACGATTTTTTGATAAATATTGAAATTATCTTAATAAGAATCAAGAAAGCTATAATTTGATATCAAACATGATATATTTGGGTTAAAAAATAGAAAAGTTAGGTTAGAAACTGTCAAATGTCAAAATTAAATGTAACGATTTTTTGATAAATATTGAAATGATCTTAATAAGAATCAAAAATGCTTTAATTTGATACCAAACACGATACATTTGGATTAAGAAATAAAAAAGTTAGGTTATAAACTGTCAAATGTCAAAATTAAATATAACGATTTTTTGATAAATATTGAAATGGTCTTAATAAGAATCAAAAATGCTTTAATTTGATACCAAACATGATATATTTGGGTTGAGAAATAAAAAGTTAAGTTATAAACTGTCAAATGTCAAATAATCGCCATCTTTTTTTTGCTAAAAATGAAGATATCTCGATAACGATTAGAGATAAATAGGTCAAGTTTGGGTTCATCTTAAAGGATTTTTAGTTTTCTCTACATTTATGTTAAAAAAAGAATACCTTTATAATTTAAAAAAAATTCTGAATTGATCTTTATTAACCTTCGCGTTACCAACGAGGGTATGAAAGGACACTTTTTTTTTGCTAAAAATTGAGATATCTCGATAACGGTTGGAGATAAATAGGTAGTGTTTGGGTTCATTTTAAACGATTTTTAATTTCCTATCCATTCATGTTAAAAAAAACACCGTTATAACTAAAAACAAATACAAAATTTGATTATGTCATACTACTGGGGCGTGCTCAACCGTGTTGGTGGGATACAGTGTACGTTATTTAGACGCATGCTCATAACTTTGAATTGGTCGGACGCTAACCACTATTCGGGTATCTAATTCTAGGTCTAGTATTAGTTCCACTTTTAGTTCAACAAAAATATACAACAATCTAGCGCTGAAACTAGAACTAACACTAGACCTAGAACTAATTTTAGTTCCAGGGAAATATATAGCAACCTAACGCTATTAATACTAGTTAGCGCTACTTAGCACTGTCACTAAAAGTAACACTAGTTCTAGTGATAGTACTGCTGTAAAACTAGAACTAACACTAGACCTAGAACTAGAAAGTAAGTCTTGAGAGACGTGCGGCTCACCTTTTTCGAAGCAAAACTTTTTCTTTGCAAAACTACCCAATGTCTATACTATTAAGCTATGTTGCATTTTATGTGGGACAGTGCAAGTGCATAGTAGCTTCGTAACTATGGTTACAGCATTCTTATATTGCGAGTTATATGAAATTCCGTATAAAATCTTTGATAACCATATATATCTGGCGGATAACTGTCGTATATTCGCTAAGTACCCGATAAGTTATCCTGCCGATAATCTCGCCAACAAAAATATCCATAGATTGTAATACAATACAAATTAACTTATCTGTCAGATAACGCTATCGGGAAGTTTAGTTATTTATTGCTCATCTTTACCTTGAACTAATTTGAATCTTCCTCCGTGCGAAATAATCCCCGAACCGTTTAAAACTTCATCTATATTGATTAAAACTTCTTTTCTTGTAGTTGGTTTGTTGAATAACAAGGTTAATAATTGATTTTTGCCATCAATTTCCCCCAAATCTTTTGTGTCACCCCCTAAAAGTGAAATTAATTATATTGGGGTGATTATTAATTAACTAATTAATTAAACCTCCAGCTGCATAAAACGTTGGTAATAAATCTGTGATGTGCATTAAGTTATAATTATTTTTTCTTTTATACGTTAGATGTTTGCTATAAAAAATTGCAGTTCCTTTAATTCCTCCTTGATAATTTGAATTTTTTAGCTAAAAAAAATTTTTTTGTAATGATTTAATTAATTATTTCATTTTATATTTAATTAACTCCTTTTAAAGGCCAATTTGAGGCAAAATTCGAATGAAGCCCGGTGGTAATTCCCCCATTATCGCTCATAAAAAGGATAAAAGTGTCGTCTAAAACCCCCCTATTCGATAAAGCCTCCATAACCAATCCAACGGAATCATCTAAAGACTTTACAACATCTAAATTAACGTAGAACATTTTCTTTTAATTAATTCTCTCACCAACATATTTCCTTCTATTAATGTCTTTGATGTATCCGAAATTTTCGTTCATTTCCTCTGTGTTTTTTTCTTCTAAAATTGTAACACCTGGAGATAATGTTTTCCCGGTGTGTGGCGCTAAATGGGATATCATTAAAAATAAAGGATTTTTTTCGTAATTATGATCGTTAATGATTTTAATTGATCGTTTAGTGAAAAGATCTGTTGCGTAAAAATCGTCGTCTTGATGATTTACTTCAAAATTATCCCTAAAATCCAATCCATCCATTTCTTTTTCGCGTATTTTATGATTAAAATAGCCGATGTAACCATTGTAATATCCATAGTGGGTGTTAAATCCTCGCGAAATTGGGGTAACATTTCTATAAGCATACCCCAAGTGCCATTTTCCAACTAAATTGGTATGATAACCCAGTTTTTGTAATTGCTCCGGTAAAGTTGGCATATTAAATGGTAAATGACGTTCTTCGCCCGCCATCATTGGAAAACCTTGAAAACCTTATTCAAAAAGATAATATTTTACGTAATAACTATTTTGGTATTGACCCAAATTTTTTTTTTAAAATAAAAAAATAAACCTTGACGTTGCGTTTTATCAAGGTAAATAAAAAAATTATCTTTACCTGATTTTATCGGGTAATTCCCAGTCATTAAAGCAGCTCGTGATGGTGTACAAATTGGTAAAGTGTAAAAATTATCCAAAATCACCCCGTTATAAGCCAAAGCGTCGATGTTCGGCGTTTTTACTTGGTTATTTCCACGAAATCCCACGTCGTTATAACCCTTTTATTAATTTATTATTAATAATTTCGTTATTATAATTAAATTTAACATACCAAATCATCAGCTAAAATAAGAACTAAATTCGGCGGTTTAAAACAACGAATTTGATCAATTTTTAACACTAAAATTAAACATAAAAGTATATTCATCTTCAAACAAAAGTAAAAGAACAACTAAGGAATTGAGCAGTTTGCATTCTCGGTTTTATATGATTTGTGGCGAAATTTTTAGACGAAGGTGAACGATAAGGTTATTTAATTTATTGTTGTTGGTTTTCCAGGCACGTTTTTTTTTTGGGTTATTTGAGAATTTCTTCTTAACGCGAAGATAAAAAAAATAAATACAATTATAACTTAAATAGTAATTAAAATAAACAATTAAGAAACGAAATTGGCCTTGTTATGTTCATTTTAATAGTTCAAAATACGATAGTTTGTTTATTGTAAGGTTCGTTGAATAGTATTGATGATAAGAGCTGCTTTTCACTACAACTAATTTATAATTTATTAATTTTAAAATCAAAAAAATGTAGGATTATACAACCAAATGTACACATAACAAATAAAAAGATAGATCACTTGACGACGCGACTTTAGTTGTGAAAAAACCTTTCAGTTGTCAATGTCAACTTTAATTTTATTATTATATTCGTAATCTTCATAAAATAACCTTTAAAATGAGTCCAAACTCGACATATTTAACTTTAATATTAATGGAGATACAACCACTTCCGGTTTGAAACGTCAACGTCAATTTTGACATATTTGTCATCTTCATTAAAAAAACCTTTAAAATGAGTCCAAACATGACGCACTTATCTCAAAAAACAAAAAAGTTAGAATAAAAAGCATTAAACCTGAAGTTAGCAACAATGAAGATAGTAATTTAATTTTTAAATATTAATACCAACCTTAATTTTTGATTTTTTTTATTACTACTATATTTTTGTTTTTGTGACAAATATTAAGACATTTTATGAAAATTAAGAATATGTCAAAATGACGTTGACATTTCAAACCGGAAGTTGTTTATATCTCGAGTAATATTGGAATTAAACGTATCATGTTTGGACTCATTTTAAAGGATTTTTCACGACGATTACAAATATGTCAAAATTGACGTTAACATTCTTAACCGGAAGTTGACCATAACTTCATTAATATTGGAGGTAAATATGTCGTGTTTGTACTCATTTTAAAGGATTTTTAATGAAGATTACAAATATGTCAAAATTGAGGTTGATAATTTAAATCTGAAGTTAGTTATCATATAATAGAAGTTTTATAACTGAAGTTAATCTAGTTTTAGTCACTTTTCCGCACTGTCTTTTTTTCTTGACGTGCTTTTTGGGTCATTTCACGTTGATTAAAAAAAAAGTTACTTAATATTTTGTAAATTAGTAACTAATAATCTGATTTCGTCAAGTGATGCATAACGTAGTCCAATTTAGTTAAGTCATACTGTAGTCTATAATCGATTTGAGTTGCCTACAAAGAATCACCCCTTGAAGTTTGTTGCAGTCATTCAGATACACCCTGTATATTTATTAACTCAGTAGTTAAAAAAGAAATTGGCCATGAACAAATGTTATTTCCAAGTTATTTCCAACTAAAGATTATTGATCAATTTATAATACGTTTTATAACGTTTTATTAGCAATTAATTATTTTTTATACTATTTTTTTATTTTTTTAAATTTTAAACCTAATGCCATCTACAAGGTAATTGCCAAAGGTTTACACACTTAAACCGTTTTGTTGATTTTAGGCAACCCATTTTACATCTTTTCGTAACGACTAAAAATTGTGACAAAATCACATACCTTCAGAAAAAACACATTCACGAAATAATAACAATTTTACGAAAACGAAATCTCTTCCTAAGATACATGAGCATTAAATATTTTTAATTATAGAAAGTATTTCCCCATCGCTTTTAGTTTTTGAGTTATAATTGAGATAATTTTCGAAAATCAACAACTTTGATGTTTAATCGATTTAGAGCTTATAAATAAAAAATGGTAATAATTGGGTTCAATCATTTTATGGATCTAGTCTTTATGGTCCATTACCAAGGTTTTATGTATAAAAAATATTTCCCCATCGCTTTTATTTTATGAGTTATGATTGAGTTAATTTTCGAAAATCAACAATTTNAAACCGGAAGTTGCTTATATCTCGAGTAATATTGGAATTAAACGTATCATGTTTGGACTCATTTTAAAGGATTTTTCACGACGATTACAAATATGTCAAAATTGACGTTAACATTCTTAACCGGAAGTTGACCATAACTTCATTAATATTGGAGATAAATATGTCGTGTTTGTACTCATTTTAAAGGATTTTTAATAAAGATTACAAATATGTCAAAATTGAGGTTGACAATTTAAACCTGAAGATAGTTATCATATAATAGAAGTTTTATAACTGAAGTTAATTTAGTTTTAGTCACTTTTCCGCACTGTCTTTTTTTCTTGACGTGCTTTTTGGGTCATTTCACGTTGATTAAAAAAAATCATCGATTTTTAAGCCACATTATTCTTGAATTTTTCCCAAGTTACTTAATATTTTGTAAATTAGTAACTAATAATCTGATTTCGTCAAGTGATGCATAACGTGGTCCAATTTAGTTAAGTAATACTGTAGTCTATAATCGATTTGAGTTGCATTGTTTCTTGATACCATGTGTCCTTATGCTTAAGGTGGCGATTCGAATCTCTTGGGTTCGTAAAATTGATAAAAAAATCGGTTTAGTTTCGCCAATGATTCAGAGATGTCGCACTATACTACATTTCAACGATATTCATGCATTTTCATTTTTTGTACCTATCTACATGAAATGAATAAAAAAAATGGAAGGAAAAGAGTTAAATATATATGTATATGTATAATAATATTGATTGTATTTATTTTGATTGTAAATAGCTTATTATTACTTATCTTATTTATGTATTTTGTTTTCATTATTGCTGCTGTTTTGTCTCTTTAGTTTTTTCCTTAAAGGTAATAGTTTTAGCGTAAAAAAATAAAATATGCTACAATGCATTGAAGGACTGTGGTCAGCTCATTCATAATTGCCTACAAATTTTCTATCTGTTATATATATATTTATTAACTCAGTAGTTAAAAAAGAAATTGGCCATGAACAAATGTTATTTCCAAGTTATTTCCAACTAAAGATTATTGATCAATTTATAATACGTTTTATAACATTTAATTAGCAATTAATTATTTTTTATACTATTTATTTATTTTTTTAAATTTTTAATTGGTACCTACTGCCATCTACAAGGTAATTGCCAAAGGTTTATATACTTTAAACTGTTTTGTTGATTTTAGGCAACCCATTTTACATCTTTTCGTAATGACTAAAAATTGTGACAAAATCACGTACCTTCAGAAAAAACACATTCATGAAATAATAACAATTTTACGAATACGGAATCTCTTCCTAAGATACATGAACATTAAATATTTTTAATTATAAAAAGTATTTCCCCATTGCTTTTAGTTTTTGAGTTATAATTGAGATAATTTTCGAAAATCTACAATTTTGCTGTTTAATCGATTTAGAACTTATAAATAAAAAATGGTAATAATTAGGTTCAATCTTTTTATGGATCTAGTCTTTATGGTCCATTACTAAGGTTTTATGTATAAAAAGTTTTTCTCCATCGCTTTTAGTTTTTGAGTTATGATTGAGTTAATTTTCGAAAATCAACAATTTTGATGTTTAATCGATTTAGAGCTTATAAATAAAAAATGGTAATAATTGGGTTCAATCTTTTTATGGATCTAGTCTTTATGGTCCATTACTAAGGTTTTATGTATAAAAAATATTTCCCCATCGCTTTTATTTTATGAGTTATAATTGAGTTAATTTTCGAAAATCAACAATTTTGATGTTTAATCGATTTAGAACTTATAAATAAAAAATGGTAATAATTGGATTCAATCTTGTTATGGCTCTAGTCTTTATGGTCCATTACCAAGGTTTTATGTATAAAAAATATTTCCCCATCGCTTTTATTTTATGAGTTATGATTGAGTTAATTTTCGATATCAACAATTTTGATGTTTAATCGATTTAGAGCTTATAAATAAAAAATGGTAATAATTTGGTTCAATCTTTTTATGGATCTAGTCTTTATGGTCCATTATTAAGGTTTTATGTATAAAAAGTATTTCCCCATCGCTTTTAGTTTTTGAGTTATAATTGAGATAATTTTCGAAAATCAACAATTTTGATGTTTAATCGATTTAAAGCTTATAAATAAAAAATGGTAATAATTGGGTCCAATCTTATTATGGATTTAGTCTTTATGGCCCATTACTAAGGTTTTATGTATAAAAAGTTTTTTTTCTTTGCTATTAGTTTTTGAGTTATGATTGAATTAATTTTCGAAAATCAAAAATTTTGATGTTTAATCGGTTTAGAGCTTATAAATAAAAAATGGTAATAATTGGGTTCAATCTTTTTATGGATCTAGTCTTTACGGTCTATTACCAAGGTTTTATGTATAAAAAATATTTCCCCATCAGTTTTATTTTATGAGTTATGATTGAGTTAATTTTCGAAAATCAACAATTTTGATTTTAATCGATTTAGAGCTTATAAATAAAAAATGGTAATAATTGGGTTCAATCTTTTTATGGATCTAGTCTTTATGGTCCATTACTAAGGTTTTATGTATAAAAAGTTTTTCCCCATCGCTTTTATTTTATGAGTTATGATTGAGTTAATTTTCGAAAATCAACAATTTTGATGTTTATCATTTTTATCTTCTTAAAATCTGCCTACAATTTCGCTATTTGTTCTTCTTCCTTCACTCACTTTATTATTAATTATATTAACACATATAATTAATAATAAACTGTTTATAATCTTGAAAACCGTTCAAAAATCAACAAAATAAATCAAAATAAAAAGAAATTAAAGTTTGACATTTGACAACTAACTCAAAATTGTGCTCTCAGTGCTACCAACCTATGAATTATATAACTGTAAACTAACTAAGGAAGTAACCAACTAAGAAATTTTTTTAACATTCAAAGATATTACTTTATTTTTAATAACATTAATAAATTAAATATTTGATTTTGAAACATATATGTATTTATCGACATGCGCATTGTTGGGAATGTTGAGAAAGATTTAAATCGGGATCATTTGGATCTCGAGGTCTTCCTCGCCGACCTGGAAGCATTGCCATATCCACAGCCGACTCCATTCTTATCATAACTCGTTCTAAAAGGGTTTCAACGGCTCTCGAAACGTTTTGACCTGTAGCTGCGCTAGTTTCTAAATAAATTAAACTATAAAAGCAAAATTAGCGTTATAAAGAAGCTTTTTATATAAACAAACTTGTGTTTTTCAGCGACTTCTCTCGCTTTCCATTCTGGGATTACCCTCCTATCCTCTAAATCGGCTTTATTTCCGCATAAAATCACATCAGGGGCGTCACAATATGCGTGTAACTAAAAAAATTAATCAAAAAAATTTTTTTTTATCTAAAATATTTTTACTTTGAGTTGTTCGACCCAATTTCTTATTTCTAAAAAGCTTTGTTCGCTGGTTAAATCAAAGATTAATATAAAACCCATCGCGTCTCTATAAAAAGCTGTTGTTAAGCTTCGAAATCTAAAAAAATAATATTAAATTTAAAAATTATTTATTGAGTTATTACCTTTCTTGTCCTGCTGTGTCCCAAAGTTGTAAATGAACCCTATGGGTTCTTCCTTTCGATTGATAAAGCTTAACGGAAAAGATTTAAAAATTATTTCAAAATAAAATTTAAATTTCTCACCATTCTTTTCTCTTTAAAATCAATTCCGACCGTTGAAATAAATCTTGCATTAAAAACACCATCGGTGTATTGATACAAAAAGCTCGTTTTTCCAACTCCCGAATCGCCGAGCGCTAAAAATTTGATTAAATAATCGTAATCCATGGCGATTTAGTCGAAATTAGCTTTAACTGGTAATGGATAAGGTGTTATACTAAAAATGGAAGCTTATCGCGACTCAGATATCAAACCCATGACATTGGCACCATTGTTTTAATTCGCGTCCGGGACCTGAAACGCCCGTCCAGCTTTCAGGAGCTTTTCAAGGACTTCCCAGTTAGATTATTATTGACAACTTGTTGCTTTTGAGACCACCTGTCTGTATCAAAAAAAAATTTAAAGGAAACTGTAATACCGATAAATTTTATTTCACCCAATAGGTGGCATTAAATTAAAACTAAATAATTTTTTGATTAAATTTATTTTTAATTGTTATAATAATATAGTGCCGATAAAATTTGTTATTGAAATGTTCGATGTAAAAATTTCTTGTATTTCAAGTCAGTCATTTATTAAATAATCACTTTTATTGCTGCAAGGAAACGTTTAGATTTATAGAAAAGTCCAAAAGTTGTTATCATTAAGTGCGTTTTGATTCTTTTATGTGGTCGTGGTTATGTAACTATTATTTAGAACATCGTGGCTCCCATAAAACGACGTAAAAGTTGTATTTGTGCTTAAACTTAACGGAAATGTATCGCCGCTATTCATCGTGCTAAACGTCGAGACCATTTCGCTCGTATTTTCAGGACTTGTCGATATTATATGCTCTCTAATTTGACATTCAGAGCTAAAACGATAAAATTAATTGGTTAAATTTTGATACGAAGCGAACTTACCGATTATTTTGGGTGTATCTCCTCGAATGAGATCCGATGGGTGTTTGTCTTATCGAATAAATAAAAACTCCAGTCATTGTTAGAACGAACGATAAGAAATATAATGCGTGTAACTAAAAGAAAAGATTACTTAGTGAGAATTAACACTTTTTATTCCTACCAAGACTAGTCAATTGAACGGTTTTGATATTGCGATTACAATTTTCTTTGTACAAATGTTTATAGTTCTCTCTGTGGTTATTGGCTTATCATTTACTATATAAATAAATAAAATCACACCTCGAAAAAATGCTGGAACAAAAAGTGGGCGAAAAAAATGCTAAGCAGAAATAACTTTACGGAAATTATGAAGTTTATTCGATTCAACAACAGAAATTAACGAATACAACTTTTACAAATCGATAAATTTGCTTTGATTGCGGAAGTTTGGGACTTTAATGCATTTATAGATAAACAATGGCGCTTGACGTTCTAAAGCAATAATTTAAGATCAGAATTAATTCGAAGTTCGGACATACCCAAGTCTCTCCCATCCAGTGATGGGCGTTGAGTAAATACCCAGCGGGTAGGTATTTATAAAATGGGTATTTATCTGGGTATTTACCCCGGCCCAGGGTAAATACCCAAACAGTACATATAAAAGTGATACAAGTAAAAATATAACAGATTCGGACAAAAATGTAGAGGAACATGATGAAATGGGCGTTAACGATAATGCGCCCAGTTCCACTTGAGCTTTGCCACAATGTTGACCGCATCATTTACGCCAGTTCTTCTTCGTAGGTCTTCATTTTGTATGTGGTCAATCAGGGTTACACCCAGCATCGACCTCTCCATCTTTCTTTGCATTACTTTGAGCCTCCTGGTAATGTCCACCGTTAATGTTAAAATTTCAGAACCGTATGTCATAACCAAAGGTGGAACCACACATTGATTGAAAGCCTTTCTTTTCAAATATATAGGAATATCGCTTATGAAGATGTCTCTAAGTTTCCTGTAGGCTGCCCATGCGAGTATCATCCTTCTGTTTAGTTCGTTTGTTTGATTATTATCTTTCGATACACACTTTCATACGGCTGCGATGCGAACCAACTGAGATGATTACTTCAAGAACAATAGTGGAAAAGACAAGAAGAGATAGAGTTAGGAACAAAATTGTAAGAGAATTTTGTGGATTCGGATATGTCATGAGATTTGCTAGGGGAAAAATAAAAAAATTTAATGAATACTTCCAACGAATGGAAGAAACCTGGCTGATTAAGATAGCAAGAGACCAAAGATTAGCTAGAAAGAGATCTCGGAAGACCAGGAAGTTGGATTTCCAGCTCTAATGAAACACCATGAATGATGCGTAAAAAACCGGTTACAAACTGAATACAAGAAGAAGAATCATAAGATCTTAAACGAACTACTTAATTCTCAATTGGAAATCAACAATCTCCTGGATCTTGGAATCTTGGATTTGATGGAAGTGCAATATGACTAGAAAAAAATCAAACAACAAGAATTAATGAAGCACAAAAACTGAATTTAGTCGTTAATATTAGACTTATACTCAATTCAGGACATTCAAAGTTGTTTTTCAAGCATTAAAGAAATCGTTAAATATTTTCGAAGAGTATTACATAAACGAGAATGGTCGGTAGTGAAAATATAAACTTTCCCGAAATATATGTACACTTTAAAGCTAATAACACCAGGAATGTGTATAAATTTGTTTGACAGTTAAGACAAAGGCACAAATCGCACACAGCTCTATGCTGAGATGGAACAGGAAAAATAATATGTGATAGTGAAATGAATGACATTTGGAAAAATTATTTTCGAAACCTATTAAGCATAGAAACTGATTTGGAAATAGACAGCAGTCTATCATGGAACCTATATCAATTAGTGAGGTTCAAAACGCAATCACTGCGTCAAAACATGGAAAGGCATCAGGGATTAATGACATACCATCGAAAGTATTCAAGATAGAAGTATTCATTATCATCAATATTGATGTTAGAGCTTGGAACAAGATTTGTCCTAAATTTTGTTGATATTTAGCCCGACTGTTGCACACGCCTCCTGTATACGTTCTGCATCAGTTTTATCTCTCCAAGGCTATCCGAAATAAGAACTATATCGTCCGCGCAACCCAAATCATTTAGGTATTGCCATCAATGTTTATACCGTTTTGGGTCCAATCCAGTTGTTTAAATGCACTCTCCAGGACTGTCATGAACAATTTGAGTTCAACATTATATCGCCTTGTCTTACCCCACGCCCAATGGGTATTCGGTCAGTACTTTCATGCAATTTTACCGTCATTATAGCATTCTTGCAAATGTTATAAATAAGTTTGGTGTATCGATAATGGACTCTGCATTCTTGAAGTACTTGCATACCTGCCATCAACTCAATTTAAATCAAATTTTATAAATACCTCTAAATACCCATCTTGGGTAAATATCCCCGGGTATATATCCAGAGAATTTTCCCTTGAAAATAAATACCCGGGTATTTAACAACACTGCTCCCATCAAAACCGAGGTATATTTGAGTATCATCAGCATACATGTGAGTTTTGCAATGCTTTAGATTGGAACAGAAATTAATAGTGTAAATTAGGTATAGTATTGGTCCCAAGATTGATCCTTGAGGTACACCTGAAGTAATATAACCTCTCTTCGACAAAATACTCTGAAATTTAACAATTTGCGAACGATGTAAAAAATAGTTTTTGAAAAAATCGATAGCTAACGGGGAGAAACCAACATAATGAAGCACAGCAAGTAAAGTCGAATGATGGAGGGTGTCAAACGCCTTAGAAAAGTCAATTAAGATGAGAGTCGTAACATTTCCGTCATCCAATTCATGCAAGATATCATTGGTCACATTCAGAAGAGCTGTAGTATACCTGTAAACAGGACGAAAAGCAGACTGAGTAGATAGAAGTAAATTAAAAGTATGAAGATGATCCCAAATCCTTACAGCCACAATCCTTTCTACTACCTTAGAGCAAACATTTAAGATGCTAATAGGCCGAAGATCATTTAGTACTGCATTTCGGGATGGGAGACACCAAGGCAGTCTACCATTGATCAGGAAAGACACCCAGCTCAAGACAAAGATTGACAATATGGCGCAAATACGGAACAATCACAGGGCAACATCTTTACGCTAATGCCATCACTTCCAACTGCATTGGTTTTAATGGATTGCAGCGCACGATCGATTTCGGCTTCCCAGGCTTCATCCATCAGCTACATAAGCAGCCTAATATTGTCAGTAACCCAAGGGCGATAATTCTTACGTAAAACAACAGTCTTGAAAAGTGCATATATATTGAAAAGATTAATAATATGATAATTAAAGGAACAGCACGCAGATGGTCCAGAAAAGCTTCCGAGTTGAAATCCTTAAAATCTGTATAAGTAATACTCTTAACAGAAACAAGTGAATGATCAGCGACTCCATATTCATATAAATTGGAGCATCCACATTTAAGATTATAAAATCAATCAAGGTAGCGGAAGAAAGGGTGATCCGTGTTGGACTAGTAATATTAATAGGAATAAATCGATTACCATAAAAGCCATCAACATCTAAGCCGTTGATGTTAAAATCACCTAAGCAGACAAGTTCCTCGGAAGATGGAACAAGATAGGATAGGACATCTTCAAAACGCCAATAAGAAGTCGATATGTAACACCATGGAAACAGAAAAGTCAATAAGTTCAATCAAAAGATGCTCACTAGATTAACTTCAGCTACAAAACTTCTATTATATGATAACTAACTTCACGTTTAAAATGTCAACCTCAATTTTGACTTATTTATAATCTTCATTAAAAATCCTTTAAAATGAGTACAAACACGACATATTTATCGTCAATATTAATGAAATTATGGTCAACTTCCGGTTAAGAATGTCAACGGCAATTTTGACATATTTGTAATCGTCGTGAAAAATCCTTTAAAATGAGTCCAAACATGATACGTTTAATTCCAATATTACTCGAGATATAAACAACTTCCGGTTTGAAATGTCAACGTCATTTTGACATATTCTTAATTTTCATAAAATGTCTTAATATTTGTCACAAAAACAAAAATATAGTAGTAATAAAAAAAATCAAAAATTAAGGTTGGTATTAATATTTAAAAATTAAATTACTATCTTCATTGTTGCTAACTTCAGGTTTAATGCTTTTTATTCTAACTTTTTTGTTTTTTAAGATAAGTACGTCTTGTTTGGACTCATTTTACAGGTTTTTTTACGGAGATGACAAATATGTCAAAATTGACGTTGACGTTTCAAACCGGAAGTAATTGTATCTCCATTAATATTAAAGTTAAATATGTCGAGTTTGGACTCATTTTAAAGGATTTTTTATGTAAATGACAAATATGTCAAAATTAAAAGTTAAAATATTATAAAAATATTATACATGCAGCAATTCATTGTATTATATTCATTATATTTATTGTACTGGATACAATCTCGTCTCGCTGTCACTTTTCGTAGTAAAGTATTGTACCTTATAATATATTTTTAGTGCATAGTACAATCCATTTCTCTCAGTGTAGAGTCTCTGAAGATGGCAGGGGCGGAAAATAGTTAGACTTAAATTCTATATATATTTTTTCTATAGTAGAATTTCTTGGTATATTTAAGTGTCGTATCTAAGTCGGTTCTTAGACGTATGATGCAAATCGGATTTGAAATTGTATGACGTGATTGTCGCTTAGCTTTATCCTTTCTTAACACTTTCTTCGACCTTAGCGTTGAAAGAACATATAGCACAAATAATACAAAATTTGTCAACATCCTTGTATTGCCTGAGAGTGATGTCAAGGGTTTTACCGATTAAAGAAACAAAAAGTGTGTATTTTGCATACTTTCACAGTATAGCAACTTATGGTATTCTTACATGTGGTGCTTCAAACGATATTGAGGTCATATTTATAGATAAAAAAAAAGCCGTTAGAATACTTGCAAAATTGGGTCCAAATGAGAGTTGTTGAACGATTTTCAAGGCACTAAAAATACTAACAATACCACCATGTTTAAATTACATACATACAGAAAAAGAACATGTACTCAAGAACGCAAATATACACAACTATCATCTGTACAATGTACTCTCACCAAAATTAAAAGCTTTGAACATTGAAAAGTTCAAAAAAATAATGATAGAAAAATTGTTGCGACATGAGATCTATGTAATAAGTGAATATTATGAAAAAATGCAAAGTATTAATAATATAATATCAAATTCTGGTTAGCATCCGATGTAAATACCAAATATGCAATAAACGGGTTTCTTTATTTGGGAAAAGATGAAACGAGAGCTCCTTCAGTTCCGCTGGAAGAGTTTGTCTTTAGGACCATATACAGTGTGTTAATTAATTATCGTACTCGACGTCATCATTGCAAGTATGCAACCAATATCACAATATACGCCATTTGCGTATTGCAGTGTGCAAACTTGTAACCTGTTTGAATACGGTTTTTGCTCATCAACTGTTAATAAAATGCTCTTTCTCGCACAGTTATCGAACTGTATATATAACCAAGAGACCCACTTTTCCTTTTACTCTTCTTAAGTGAAATAAATCATCAAAAATATTTGAAATTTCTATTATCATTCTTGTGTAATTCGTGATTTTCTAATTTTTCGGTGTTAACACGGATTTTGACATTTTAAATTTGACATTTGACAACCAACTTGAAATTGCGTCTTAATTCAGAACTACCAACCTTTGATTTAATTTTAATTTAAATAACACCGACGGATTTCTAAATTACAAATAATTTTTTAATTTAATTTGATGATTTTTAATTTATTATTTCATTATTTATACTTTATAACTTTTCGTTTTAAAATTTTTATAAAAAAAAATTTAAATCTGTATCATTTTCCCCGTTACTATGGAAACGAGACAGCTTTAATCGACTTACATTTCGTAGTGCTTTCTTAACTTTATTAGATTTTGAAGTTTTTTGAAAAACCCATTGCTTAACAATCAAAATGGGAACAAAACACAATTAAAAATCTTTTATAACAGCAGTTATTTACACAAAAATACAATCTTGCGACCTGTTCGAATACGATTTTTGCTCTCAACTGTTAATAAAATGCTTTTTCTCGCACAATTATCGAACGTATATGTAACCAAGAGATCCACTTTTTCTTTTACTCTTCTTAAGTGAAATAAATCATCAAAAATATTTGAAATTTCTATTGTCATTCTTGTTTAATTCGTGATTTTCTAATTTTTCGGTGTTAACACGGATTTTGACATTTTAAATTTGACATTTGACAACCAACTTGAAATTGCGTCTTAATTCAGAACTACCAACCTTTGATTTAATTTTAATTTAAATAACACCGATGGATTTCTAAATTACAAATAATTTTNATATGTTTTACACGAAAGTTGGAATAGATTGCATTATTTCACATTTTTTATTAATATTTAATATTATTATTAAATGACTTAACAAATTATAGCAACATTTGTTTGTATTCAAAAATTTTCTGAAGTGTCAAATTAAAAATTCTGTTTTTAAGATGGATTACGAAAAGTTTAACATGTTACATATTAGAAAATAAAGTAAATTTTATATAAATTTTTAGCAGAATAATTTATCGTAATTTACAGGAAACTGTAAATTTAATTTCTTTTATGACACAAGAAAAGTTTATTTTTAGCTTTATTCTAAAACAATAAGAAATAAACCTATATAACCGCATATTTTTGTAATCAGAAAAAAATAACAAATTTAATAAGCGAATAATCAGTGGTTGTTTCTGTTTAAAAAAACGAAAATTGTCATAATAACCAAAATTGGCGAAACTGAAAAGTGACAACATGACATTACATAAAATTGACTATTATTTACTTATAGTTTAGAATATAGTGGTTGTGTTAAAAGCCGGTAATTTGACCAGTCGCGGTAGGAATAAGTATTTCGTGAAGTGTCAATAGAAATAGTATTAAGCAGTAAAAATCAAAAATTACTTTATAATTAAATAACAACATTCCTATCATGAGTGTGTAATAATTTCCGGTTAATAACGATAGATGCAGCGCTGTGTTACCCATGTAAAGTAAAAATATGGACGAAAGAGTGCAATAAATAAATTGACACAACGTTAAGGTCCCTAATAAGACACTCGCGTCAGACCAAGATGTGTTTAAGATGGTTTGTTTTTCTAATAACAACCTAAAAAAATCAAATTAATCAAAAATAATTTAAATTTGTTAAACTTACATTTGTATTCCACTCACAACACTCCCAAATAACCCCAACAAACCCAAATACTCAACAACATCCGTATTTTTAACCGATAATTCTTGAAGAACAGTTACAATGGCGAATAAAACCGCTCCACCTAAACACAACATATCCCCGACTAATTGGTTCTTTCCATCCATTTTTTTATCATCGATATTAGCCAAAACTAAACCTCCTACACCAATAAGACAAATCGAAACTGCGATTATATGTACCATTCGGAATCTTACTCCAAGTACCAAACAACTTAGTGCTAAAGCTACAGGAATTGCAACGCAGCCCAATAACTATAAAAAAATTAACGATGTTTATTTAGGATTATTTTTTTTACAAACTTACTTGAACGCAAGTTAATGTTGTAAATTGATGAGCTGTACTTAATAAAGTGTTTGCTTGGACGTCAATTAAACATAAAAGTAAATATCTCCATCCACGAGCTTTTATAATTGAGATTAATCCGTGATCGCCTCTACGAAATGCCAACCAACTTGTATAAACCGAACACAAAAACATGTAATGTGGGAAATTTTGCCCTGTTGGTAAAACATTAATCGGGGGGGTGTTAACGTAATGAAGAATTGTGTTGGAAATGACCAATAAAAGTGATAGAATTTGACCCAAAATGATGTTTTGCCACACTTTCCTACAAAAAAAAATTTTTGAGTTAAAATCATGAAAAAATTATAACGATTTTTTACCATTTTCCTAATTCCGCTAATTGGTTACCTATTTTATTACAAAAATCATTTCCATTTTCCATAGTTTTTTCTTGCATTTCGTCACATTTCGCGTGTTATTGAAAAAAGGCGAAGGGGTGGGGCACAACCCCTATTTTAAGGTTATCAGCGCATGTCTCGTTTCCATAGTAACGGGGAAAATGATACAGATTTAGAATTTTTTATTAGGAAAATTTTAAAACGAAAAGTTATAAAATGTAAATAATGAAATAATAAATTAAAAATCATCAAATTAAATTAAAAAATAATTGTTATATAAATTAAAATTAAATTAAAGGTTGGTAGTTCTGAATTAAGATGCAATTTCAAGTTGGTTGTCAAATGTCAAATTTATAATGTCAAAGTCCGTATTCACACCGAAAAATTAGAAAATCACGAATTATACAAAAATGATATTATAAAATATAAATAATGAAATAAAATGAATAATAAAATAAAATGAATAAATTAAAAATCATCAAATTAAATTAAAAAATTAATTGTAATTTAAAAATCCGTTGGTGTTATTTAAATTAAAATTAAATTAAAGGTTGGTAGTTCTGAATTAAGATGCAATTTCAAGTTAGTTGTCAAATGTCAAATTTAAAATGTCAAAATCCGTATTTACACCGAAAAATTAGAAAATCACGAATTACACAAGAATGATAATAGAAATTTCAAATATTTTTGATGATTTATTCCACTTAAGAAGAGTAAAAGGAAAAGTGGATGTCTTGGTTACATAAACAGTTCGATAATTGTGCGAAAAAAAGCATTTTATTAACAGTTGACAGCAAAAATCGTATTCGAACAGGTCGCAAGATTGTATTTTTGTGTAAATAACTGCTGTTATAAAAGATTTTTAATTGTGTTTTGTTCCCATTTTGATTGTTAAGGAATGGTTTTTTCAAAAAACTTCAAAATCTAATAAAGTTAACAAAGCACCTCGAAATTTAAGTCGATTAAAGCTGTCTCGTTCCCATAGTAACGGGGAAAATGATAGATTTAGATTTTTTTTTTTAAAAATTTTAAAACGAAAAGTTATAAAATATAAATAATGAAATAATAAGATAAAAATCATCAAATTAAATTAAAAAATTATTTGTAATTTAGAAATCCGTCGGTGTTATTTAAATTAAATTAAAATTAAAGGTTGGTAGTTCTGAATTAAGATGCAATTTCAAGTTGGTTGTCAAATGTCAAATTTATAATGTCAAAATCCGTATTTACACCGAAAAATTAGAAAATCACGAATTACACAAGAATGATAATAGAAATTTCAAATATTTTTGATGATTTATTTCACTTAAGAAGAGTAAAAGGAAAAGTGGATGTTTTGGTTATATATACAGTTCGATAATTGTGCGAGAAAAAGCATTTTATTAACAGTTGACAGCAAAAATCGTATTCGAACAGGTCGCAAGATTGTATTTTTGTGTAGATAATTGCAGTTATACAAGATTTTAAGCATTGGTTGTTTCAAAAAATAAGAAAATTCGAAGTGGGTAGAAAGTGATATTTCATATAAAATGAAAATCTTTACTTAAAATCATAAAAATAATGAAGCGCAGCACCTCTACTACACAATACGTAGTGCGGAATTAAAAGAAGATAGGTAAAGTTAACAAAGCACTACGAAATGTAAATCGATCGAAACTAACAAGAAGAAATCATTCATTCCTACGTCGTCAAATCCCTAAGGATCTTACCGTAAGTGGTTTGGGGCGAAATTATATTAAAAACTTGGTTTTAAAAGTCAGTTTGCTGTTAGAAAATCATTCATAAGTATGATTAATTTAGAACTTTGGAGTTTTACACATCCTTGTGGATTTGTCGTAGTCTTTGTACTAGCTCTATGTGACCAATGATCACATGCGGAGCAGCAGCCTGGTATAGGAAAATCCGACAGACTTCAGTTATCAGGAAATCTCTAGTGCGATAAGCACAAAGCCAACCCCTGCAATGAATGTTCTGCTTCTCCTATCTCATTTGCATTTGCATATAGAGAAAGTGGCTAGAACTACCATCTATATGTTTAAGCAATATGCTCAAAACTGCTCCGACATGTCCTACCGCGGAAGACACTATAAGCACTGATATTGTGCTATCAATGCCATCAGATTTAGCGGGATCACTATCAATGATTAATGCTCGATGTCAGATTGTACGACCTGAACGGCAGTCCTGGATCGAAAATGAAAACTCTTTGATTCAGGCAGATATTTGCATATTCACAGATGAATCAAAAACGCCAGAATGGGTCGGGGCAGGAGCCAGACACTTCGGATTATTCACGCTTACAGCCTCGTATTTGCTATTGACATAGGTATTAAAATCCTTGATCTCTTGAGAGAAATGACAGTACGATTTTTCTCAGACAGTCAAGCCGCTCTCCAGGTGGCTCTGGTTAATGATCTGGTAAAAGAACTTTAAACACACTGAGTTGTGATAATAAAGTTTCTCTTATCTGGGTCCCAGGTCATTCTGGGGTTGCTAGCAATGAAGCAGATGAGCTAGCACGAGAGGGCAGAGCTAAAGAGTTTGTAGGGTCAGAGCCAGCAATTGATATATCATTTGTGATGGCCAAACATAGGATTGGACTGTGGGCTGAAGGGTTCTTCTGGAATGAGACAAGTTAAGTTATTTATACCACCACTATGAAACCCGGGAATATTTTAGGACTTACTCGTAGCAGCATTAAAGTTCAGTTTTATTGGACACTGCCGATTAAAGACATACATCAATTTGTTGGGTCTAGCCGACGATGTTGAATTCTGACTATGTGCGGAGAACGAGGAGACAATTGAACATGTTTTATGCATTTTATTTGGTTTTTATTAATCAGGACAGCAACTCCTTTTGCGGCTCTTTTTGATTTATGGACATCTGACCAAATACAAAAATAGTGTTCTAGTTCCTCAGTGCCTTTCGGTCAGTCTATCATCTCTATTTGTTTTTGTGTTATACTCTGTGTATTCCATATTACCAATCTAAAAGTCCGTCTTCGTACCAATTTCGATTACCATTTATCCATCAAATTGCAAGGATTGTTGAAAATATTGGAAGCTTTAAATAATTTTTCTTTTACAAGTATTGGGTTGCTGGTGATGTGCCTTAACTCCCAAGCTGGAGGACCAGAATTGTATAGGATTGACCTAGGATTGAATAAAAATTAAAAATAGTACTGGTTCCGGATATTGAAAGATGGTTATATACTTAGTTTTTAAATGAAAGAATTAAGAATAACACTATTACTGACGATAATTTAGGAATGAAAGTTATCAAATTTCATAAAACTTTTAATTGAAGCATAAAATTTCAAGCCAATCTAGGTTGGATAAAAAAATTTAAAAGACGTCATAAGATTATTAATAATTAGCGAAGAAAAACTTTCCCCAAACCATTCAGCTGTTCCTGGGTTCATTGAAAGTTTTCGTGAAAAAAATAAATCTTCTAAATTTACATCTTCAACAAACTTATAATACCGATGAGACAGGATTAGTTTATAAGAATTTAAACTATTAAACATTGGTGATGAAAGATGAAGAAAGGACTCCAGGTAGAAAAAATTCAAAAGAAAGGATAACAATTATACCAAGTCTTAATGCAACTGGTAACCATAAACTTCCACTATTAATTATTGGAAAAGCCAAAAATTCCTGTTAAAAATGCCGATGTTTACTATAAATTTTCGAAAAACGCATTAAAGAATGGCCACGAAACTGTAGAAGAGCTGACATTGGTGGATGGAAACTTTACAGTTCTCTTCTTTCCACCAAATACTACAACAATCTTACAGCCTTTATATCAAGGAATAATTAGATCAATGAAATCGACATACAGAAGAAAGCTACTGTGTACTTTGTTGGCGATGAATGGAGACATTGGCAGTAAATTCAAAAAATTGTTACTGAAAGATGTTGTGTTTTTAATATCGGCATCATGGACTGATACTAAACAATCCGTTATCCTGAGTGGTTGAAAACATCTACGGCTGATTCGATGGACGATGATTTTCATGATCAGGACAACATGAGACAGTGTTGGACGATAATGAAATATATGATTGGGCTATAGGAGCAAATAAACGTTCCGATAAGTTAATTACTGACGAAGATGTTCTTCTAGACAATAATAACAGCCAAGACAGCACTAGTAGAGAGGATCCAATACCGCTCAATATTGATGATATATTAAATAGTGCAAACACTTTAATAGATTAGGCAGCGAATGGAAACTTGTTCGTGGCAGAACATTGAGAAACATAAGAGAAAAAGTAGTCTTATGTAAAATTAGAAAATGTTGAATTTTTAGCATGTTGCTTTTAACTAATAACTATGTATAACTATGTACTGTTATACATAGTATGCAGTTTAAATCTATGTTGTATATTTTTATTGAACTAAAACTAGAACTAACACTAGACCTAGAACTAGAAACTTTCGGGTTTAGCCGTGCGTCTTCAGTACATTAAGAATATCAACGTCAATTTTGACATATTTGTAATCGTCGTGAAAAATCCTTTAAAATGAGTCCAAACATGATAAGTTTAATTCCAATATTACTCGAGATATAAGCAACTTCCGGTTTGAAATGTCAACGTCATTTTGACATATTCTTAATTTTAATTAAGAAATTATTAAATTGCTATCTTCATTGTTGCTAACTTCAGGTTTAATGTTTATTATTCTAACTGTTTTATTTTTTGAGATAAGTGCGTCATCTTTGGACTCATTTTAAAGGTTTTTTAATGAATATGACAAAAATGTCAAAATTGACGTTGACGTTTCAAACTGGAAGTGATTGTAATTCCATTAATATTAAAGTTAAATATGTCGAGTTTGGACTCATTTTAAAGAATTTTTTATGAAGTTGATAAGTTGACTTTTCTAAGTTCTTGTCTAAGACGCCCGGCTAAACCTAAAACTTTCTAGTTCTAGGTCTAGTGTTAGTTCTAGTTTTAATTATTATTTAACCCTAAATTCTTGTACATTTTAGTTGATGTAATGATTTAATCCACTTACCTTGCTTATAATTTCATCCATTTACTCATTTTGAATTAAACACAACCTTTAAATCCAAATAATTATGTATTTTTTATTAAATTCAACGTCAATTTTGACAAGCAACTGCAATATTTGGATCTTAATCACCATGGTAACCAAGTCATGTTGGATAACCTTAAAATAATAAAATTTTATTCCGATTTTTTATCAATTAACAATTCGAATTCTTTACGATTATTTCGCATTCATAACAAATTCGTTAATTGTAATTAATTTAAGTCGATTCTAATTAAGAGAAATTAATTAAATTTTCTTTTTTTATTTAATCCACTTACCTTGTTTATAATACCCTAGATGTACCAATTTTGAGTTAAATACAGCCTTTTAAACCAATTAAATAAGACTTTTTCCTTATAAAAAAAGTTAAATTCAATTTCAATTTTGACAAGCACCTGCAATATTTTGATCTTAATCACCATGGTAACCGAGTCATGATAACCTAACAATAATATAATTATAACTTAATATTTCGCTTTATATTTTAATATTTATTAATTTTAATTTATTTTATATTTTTGTATATTGCTTTTTAAGTGATGTTTACTTAATGGACTTTATCGACATAAAATAAAGATAGGTTATAATCTAACAAAATATTGGTTTTCTTTTTTACCGACCTATAATAAAAATAAAATTATGATTTAACGAACCTTATCGAAGTATGCGCACCAATTGCGCAGTAATTATTCAAAACTTGAAATACGCGAAACTCAAATAGTTAAGGCGTAGGTGAAAGTTGCAATAAAAGACCTCGATCGTAATCTAAAGTTTCGTTCTAAACAACAGCTGATTGTTGAACGCGCCCTCTGTACCCAAACAATGAGTCAACTTGTCAGTTGAGATGTCAATAAGAAACATTTTTCTAAAAAAATCATTTTTTCGTTGATATGTAAAGCTGATTGCAAAATGGTTGAACCAATTTTCGATTATCAATTTCGTCTGATTTTAATTGGAGATAGCACAGTCGGAAAAAGTTCTTTGTTGAAGTATTTTACTGACGGCAAATTTGCGGAGGTGAGTTCGCGTTATTCGATAAACAATTAAGTTTTCGTTACAACAATTAACTTTATAAATAAAATATTAATTTAAAATTCGAAAATACATAAACAACATCATTAAATTAATTATTACAATTTTGATTACATAAAACATTTATTTTTAGCTATCAGACCCGACTGTTGGAGTAGACTTTTTCGCACGTTTAATCGAAGTAAAAGATGGTACTCGTATTAAATTACAACTATGGGACACTGCCGGACAAGAAAGATTTCGTTCAATCACAAAATCGTATTATCGCAACTCGGTGGGTGCCCTTTTAGTTTATGATGTTTGTAATCGTGCTAGTTTCGAACACATCCCAGTGTGGATGTCCGAAGCAAGACGTCACATTGAACCACATCGACCCGTTTTTGCACTTATCGGGTGTAAATTAGATCTAGTCAGTAACGGTGGTCAAAGAGCAGTATCGAAAGAGGAAGCAAAAAATTTCGCGGATGCAAATGGGATGTTTCACGTGGAGACGTCCGCTAAAAACGGATCAAATGTGGAAGAAGCTTTTAGATCTGTTACACAAGAGGTTTATAATAGGATTTTAAGTGGAGAATATAAAGTAGAGGATGGTTGGGAAGGGATTAAAACGGGTTTTGCAAGACCTAATGGAATGGATTTTAATCTTGTTGAAGCAGAACCAGCTAAAACATCATGTTGTTAGTAGTTTTTTAGTATTTTTTTTCTAGGCGGTAAGGATAAAGTGTGTGAAAAAATTAATTTAGGAGTTAAATGCTACAAAAGAATTTGTACAATTCATTTTTATTGTTTTATTTGATTGAAACTTGTAAATAATATTTATTGTGCGTTGTCTAAAAATGATATGTATCTTTAATTAAGTGAGTTTTAATTCAATTTATTAAGTTATCTTAAAAATAATACCAAAATTAGACACTTCTAAGTGTCTAATGTGTATTAACACCGAATTTGTAAGTTACAAATCATTTTTAGTATTTTATTGTTTATATTTTATGAATTTTCGTTTTAAAATGTTCCTAAGAAACAACCAAATTTTTATAATACCCAAATTTTCACTGGTAAATGTGTATAAAATTATTACAAATTAGTCTTCTTTATAAAAAGTGTGCAATTAAGAAAGGATGCATAATATTTCCTTTTTAGAATTTTTATAAAAATAAAAATTTCAAAATAATTTTTTAAATTATTTGACATTTCACCTGTTAGGAGTGTTTTTAAATTGAAGCGCCAAAAAGAAGGGTTGCCATTGGTCGGTTTTAAGCAAAAATTACACTAGGAAAATTGTGTTAGTTCTAATTTTAGTCCAAAAATAAAATATAATAATATCTTATGCTAATTAGCACTGCCACTTGAACTAGGACTCGGAATCGTATTCGAATAGTTTTCATAATTTATTAGCAGAAAAGTCGAATATTTGAATAGTCGACTATTTGAACATTCGTTAAAAAAATAATAATTTACTTCATTTGATACAATTTTTTGATCCATTCTTTTTTTTAATGTCTCATCTTGTTTTGTTTATACAGAAAATATTTACTTATAGAACTTGCTTAAATCAACTTTTTGTATTGTAGTACGTTAATGTTGTCATTCACGTTTAATATATTAATAGGTATAGGTATTTTTCTTTTTCTCTTTAATGTTGAATTAATTTTTAACTTAATGAGGAAAAAACATATTCTTAATTGTTTATTTGTTTCTCCTAAAATTCAGAAAAATTAGTACTATACGTTTTTAATCAAATTATCCGAATATTTGAAAAATTCGACTAGTCGACAACTATTCCACTAGTCGAATATTAATAAATATTCGAATTATTCGACTATTCGAATTGAAAATTATACGACTATTCGAATATTTAAATTTGTAAAATTCCGAGCCCTACTAGAAACATTCGGGTTTAGCCGCACGTCTCTCAAGACGGCTAAACCCGAATGATTCTAGTTCTAGGTCTTGTGTTAGTTCCAGTGATAGTGCTAGTGTATAACTAGAACTAATACTAGACTTAGAACTAGAAACATTCGGGTTTAGCCATGCGTCTTCAGACGAACCAAGAACTGTAAAATCTAAAAAAACTGATACATGTTCTTCTGTAATTACGAAAATGAGATCAGTATTGGACCTCAGTACTGACCAACTTTTAGTTTAATAAAAGTAGACAACAATCTAACGCTAAATTACTAGTGAAAATAGAGTTCATAGAAAATTCTACTCATATTGAAACTTGTAAAAATTAAGGAAAGTGAATTTGTAAAAAAATAGGAACTGGCAAAAGTAGTTGTGTGTCTATATCTGTTGCTATAGATAGCGAGGTATATGATTATTTGCAAAAATTGAAGAAAATCTGGGTTTCCAAAGAAAAAGGAAATGACAAACATAATTTTCTTTTGATATTTACTGCTATAAATAAAGAGGAACGTAATGCAGCTCAAATTAACAGACTTGGAAGTTCTACTTTAATCAAAATTTTTGCAGTATTTCCATTTTAAACATGATGATGAATCTGCAGCAGCTCAATTTAAACTGATCAATGACTTTGCTGAACAAAGTTTGCTGCAGTTCAAATTGACTTGATTAAAGATTTAGCTCAACCCAAAATTAGCAAAAAATTATGGAAAACTAGGATTTTTTTTGTAATACTTGCATTTTAAACATGATGAGGAATCTATTGCATCTCAATTTAAACTGATCAATGGTTTTGCTGAACCTAAAATTTGCAAAAACTCGTGGAAAATTAGTATTGTAATGAAATAAGAAGCGGCAGAAGTATTTTTTGCAACATTTGCTGTATTAGACATGGTGAGAAATTTGGTGCAGTTCAAAATAGATTGATTAAAGATTTTGCTCAACCCAAAATTTGCTAAAAATCATGGAAAACTAGGTTTGCAATGAAATAAGAAATGCCAGAAGGATTTTTCTTGCAATATTTGCATTTTAAACATGATGACGAATCTACTGCATCTCAATTTAAACTGATCAATGATTTTGCTGAACCTGAAATTTGCAAAAACTCGTGGAAAATTAGTATTGTAATGAAAAAAGAAACGGCAGAAGTATTTTTTGCAACATTTGCTGTATTAGACATGGTGAGAAGTTGTAAAACTAGAATTAACACTAGACCAAGAACTAGAAACATTCGGGTTTAGCCGTGCGTCTTCAGCTAATTTTTGTTTTCGTTAATTTTTAATAATCTTATGACGTCTTTTAAATTTTTTTATCCAACCTAAATTGGCTTGAAATTTTATGCTTGAATTAAAAGTTTTATGAAATTCGATAACTTTCATTCCTAAATTATCGTCAGTAATAGTGTTATTCTTAATTCTTTCATTTAAAAACAAAGTACATAACCATCTTTCAATATTCAGAACCAATATTTTTTTTATTCGTTTCACATTATTAATCTTTGAGCCATAAAATGTTCGATACTTTCTTTGTTATTTTTTATACGTGAAATTGCTTTTGATCACTTTATATTCAATCCTAGGTCAATCCTGTACAATCCTGGTCTTCCAGCTTGGGGGTTAAGATCTGTGAACATGCAAATATCTGCCTAAACTAGAGAATTTTTGTTTTCAATCCAGGACTGCCGTTTAGGTAATACAATCTGACATCGAGCATTAATCATTGATAATGATCCCGCCAAATCTGATGGCATTAATAGCACAATATCAGTGCTTATAGTGTCTTCCGCAGCCCATTGGTAGGACATGTCGGAGCATATTGCTTAAATCTGTAAATGGTAGTTCTAGCCACTTTCTCTATATGCAAATATGCAAATGCAATGGAGATAGGAGAAGCAGAACATCCATTACAACGGTTGGCGTTATGCTTATTGCACCAGAGATTTCCAATCCAGCTACTCCTTGAATTCGTGAAAGTTTACTGATAATTGAGGTCTTTTCGTTTTAAAATTCTCCTAAAAAAAAAATCTAAATCTGTATCATTTTCCCCGTTACTATGGAAACGAGACATGCGCTGATAACCTTAAAATAGGGGTTGTGCCCCACCCCTTCGCCTTTTTTCAATAACACGCGAAATGTGACGAAATGCAAGAAAAAACTATGGAAAATGGAAATGATTTTTGTAATAAAATAGGTAACCAATTAGCGGAATTAGGAAAATGGTAAAAAATCGTTATAATTTTTTCATGATTTTAACTCAAAAATTTTTTTTTGTAGGAAAGTGTGGCAAAACATCATTTTGGGTCAAATTCTATCACTTTTATTGGTCATTTCCAACACAATTCTTCATTACGTTAACACCCCCCCGATTAATGTTTTACCAACAGGGCAAAATTTCCCACATTACATGTTTTTGTGTTCGGTTTATACAAGTTGGTTGGCATTTCGTAGAGGCGATCACGGATTAATCTCAATTATAAAAGCTCGTGGATGGAGATATTTACTTTTATGTTTAATTGACGTCCAAGCAAACACTTTATTAAGTACAGCTCATCAATTTACAACATTAACTTGCGTTCAAGTAAGTTTGTAAAAAAAATAATCCTAAATAAACATCGTTAATTTTTTTATAGTTATTGGGCTGCGTTGCAATTCCTGTAGCTTTAGCACTAAGTTGTTTGGTACTTGGAGTAAGATTCCGAATGGTACATATAATCGCAGTTTCGATTTGTCTTATTGGTGTAGGAGGTTTAGTTTTGGCTAATATCGATGATAAAAAAATGGATGGAAAGAACCAATTAGTCGGGGATATGTTGTGTTTAGGTGGAGCGGTTTTATTCGCCATTGTAACTGTTCTTCAAGAATTATCGGTTAAAAATACGGATGTTGTTGAGTATTTGGGTTTGTTGGGGTTATTTGGGAGTGTTGTGAGTGGAATACAAATGTAAGTTTAACAAATTTAAATAATTTTTGATTAATTTGATTTTTTTAGGTTGTTATTAGAAAAACAAACCATCTTAAACACATCTTGGTCTGACGCGAGTGTCTTATTAGGGACCTTAACGTTGTGTCAATTTATTTATTGCACTCTTTCGTCCATATTTTTACTTTACATGGGTAACACAGCGTTGCATCTATCGTTATTAACCGGAAATTATTACACACTCATGATAGGAATGTTGTTATTTAATTATAAAGTAATTTTTGATTTTTACTGCTTAATACTATTTCTATTGACACTTCACGAAATACTTATTCCTACCGCGACTGGTCAAATTACCGGCTTTTAACACAACCACTATATTCTAAACTATAAGTAAATAATAGTCAATTTTATGTAATGTCATGTTGTCACTTTTCAGTTTCGCCAATTTTGGTTATTATGACAATTTTCGTTTTTTTAAACAGAAACAACCACTGATTATTCGCTTATTAAATTTGTTATTTTTTTCTGATTACAAAAATATGCGGTTATATAGGTTTATTTCTTATTGTTTTAGAATAAAGCTAAAAATAAACTTTTCTTGTGTCATAAAAGAAATTAAATTTACAGTTTCCTGTAAATTACGATAAATTATTCTGCTAAAAATTTATATAAAATTTACTTTATTTTCTAATATGTAACATGTTAAACTTTTCGTAATCCATCTTAAAAACAGAATTTTTAATTTGACACTTCAGAAAATTTTTGAATACAAACAAATGTTGCTATAATTTGTTAAGTCATTTAATAATAATATTAAATATTAATAAAAAATGTGAAATAATGCAATCTATTCCAACTTTCGTGTAAAACAAATATAAATTAAACAGTTCAACAAATGTATTTATTCTAAATATCAAAAATATGATTTCTTAAATTTTAGTTATAATTTACAGAAAACTGTAAATTTAATTTCTTTGACGACCCAAAAAAAAATTTATTTTTAGCTTTATTCTAAAACAATAAGAAATAATCTAACCCCATATTTTTGTAATCAGAAAAAAATAACAAATTTAATAAGCGAATAATTAGTGGTTGTTTCCATTAAAAAAAACGAAAATGGTCACAATATCTCAAAATCTAAAACCGAACAATTTTTTTTGACTACGTCATCAAATTCCCTGTCAAAAAGTGTCCATATAATGTCTTAGTTATAATACTCCACCTATAATAATAACCAAGATTCGGAAATCGAATTTGAACCATCCTGTACAGTGTGTTAATTAATTATCGTACCCGTTAAAGTATGCAACCAATATCACAGATTGGTGTTGCATCGCGACGAAAGTTCCTAAAAACGATGGTGATAATTCATTAACTTTAAAAGCCGTTTAAAATATATTTAGATATATTTTAATAATTAAAAAAAGGTTTAACTTTCTGTTCTTTTATTTAAAATAATTTTTAAATTCTAGTGGCAGTGATAGGTGGATTCTGTGTTGTATATTCTTTTGAACTAAAACTAGAACGAGAATTAGAAACATTCGTGTTTATGCGTGAAAAAAACTTTCAGTTGTCAATATCAACTTTAATTTTATTATTATATTCGTAATCTTCATAAAATAACCTTTAAAGTGAGTCCAAACTTGACGCATTTATCTCATAAAACGAAAAAGTTCGAACTTTCAACTTTTAATTTTGACATATTTGTCAACTTCATAAAAAATCCTTTAAAATGAGTCCAAACTCGACATATTTAACTTTAATATTAATGGAAATACAATCACTTCCGGTTTGAAACGTCAACGTCAATTTTGACATATTTGTCATCTTCATTAAAAAACCTTTAAAATGAGTCCAAACATGACGCACTTATCTCAAAAAACAAAAAAGTTAGAATAAAAAACATTAAACCCGAAGTTAGCAACAATGAAGATAGCAATTTAATTTTTAAATATTAATACCAACCTTAATTTTTTATTTTTTTTTATTATATTTTTGTTTTTGTGACAAATATTAAGACATTTTATAAAAATTAAGAATATGTCAAAATGACATTGACATTTCAAACCGGAAGTTGCTTATATCTCGAGTAATATTGGAATTAAACGTATCATGTTTGGACTCATTTTAAAGGATTTTTCACGACGATTACAAATATGTCAAAATTGACGTTGACATTCTTAACCGGAAGTTGACCATAACTTCATTAATATTGAAGATAAATATGTCGTGTTTGTACTCATTTTAAAGAATTTTTAATGAAGATTAGAAATATGTCAAAATTGAGGTTGACATTTTAAACCTGAAGTTAGTTATCATATAATGGACAACTTCATGGTGTTCTTTCATGATGCATTTTTTATTAAAAAAACCTTTAAAATGAGTCCAAACAAGACGCGCTTATCTCAAGAAACAAAAGAAACATTAAACCCGAAGTTAGCAACAATGAAGATAGCAATTTAATTTTTATATATTAATACCAACCTTAATTTTTTATTTTTTTTTCATTATTTTGTGGAAAATATTAAGACATTTTATAAAAATTAAGAATACGTCAAAATGACATTGACATTTCAAACCGGAAGTTGCTTATATCTCTAGTAATATTGGAATTAAACGTATCATGTTTGGACTCATTTTAAAGGACTTTTCATGACGATTACAAATATGTCAAAATTGACGTTGACATTCTTAACCGGAAGTTGACCATAATTTCATTAATATTGGAGATAAATATATCATGTTTGTACTCATTTTAAAGGATTTTTAATGAAGATTATAAATATGTCAAAACTGAGGTTGACATTTTAAACCTGAAGTTAGTTATCATATAACAGAAGTTTTGTAGCTGAAGTCAATCTAGTGTTAGTCACTTTTCCGCACTTTCTTCTTATTTTTAACGTGTTTTTTGGGTCATTAAAAAAAAATCGTCGATTTTTAAGTCACATGATGAATATATCTTTCGCTATAGAGCATCTTTGGATTGAACTTATTGATTTTCCTGTTTCCATGGTTATTGGTGTTGTTTACCGACCTCATGGAGGTTTGGGTGAATTTCTCTCGCGTTTTGAAGATGTCCTATCCTATCTTGCTCCATCTTCTGAGGAACTTGTCTGCTTAGGTGATTTCAACATCAATGGCTTAGATGTTGATGGCTTTTATGGTAATCGATTTATTCCTATCTTTGAGCAGTTTAGTTTTCACATTATCATTTGAAATACGTCCAAATCCTGTTAAGAGTATTACTTATACAGATTTTAAGGATTTCAACTCGGAAGCTTTTTTCTGTTCCAATCTAAAGCATTGCAAAACCCACATGTATGCTGATGATACTCAAATATACCTCGGTTTTGATGGGAGGGACTTGGGTATGTCCGAATTTCGAATTAATTCTGATCTTGAATTATTGCTTTAGAACGCCAGGCGCCATTGTTTATCTATAAATGCATTAAAGTCCCAAACTTTCGTATTTAAAGCAAATTTATCGATTTGTAAAAGTTGTATTCGTTGATTTCTGTTGTTGAATCGAATAAACCTCATAATTTCCGTAAAGTTATTTCTGCTTAGCATTTTTTTCACCCACTTTTTGTTCCAGCATTTTTTCGAGGTGTGATTTTATTTATTTATATAGTAAATGATTAGCCAATAACCACAGAGAGAACTATAAACATTTGTTCAAAGAAAATTGTAATCGCAATATCAAAACCGTTCAATTGACTAGTCTTGGTAGGAATAAAAAGTGTTAATTCTCACTAAGTAATCTTTTCTTTTAGTTACACGCATTATATTTCTTATCGTTCGTTCTAACAATGACTGGAGTTTTTATTTATTCGATAAGACAAACACCCATCGGATCTCATTCGAGGAGATACACCCAAAATAATCGGTAAGTTCGCTTCGTATCAAAATTTAACCAATTAATTTTATCGTTTTAGCTCTGAATGTCAAATTAGAGAGCATATAATATCGACAAGTCCTGAAAATACNGCTTGATTAAAGTTTCGCCAATCGTCTCCGCTGCACCACATTTCGCAATTAAAAGCGAGACGCGATACGAAGTTTCTAGGATTTTTTGATTGTCACCTCTTGTTAAACCTCTCATTACTTTTTGAGATTGATTTAAATCTTTGAGTTTATGTTCAAAAAATTCGATTGGTTTATCTTTGTAATCAAAGTGCTTTGTGTCAAAATGTCGCTTTAAGTTCGATGGTTTCATACTTTCATTGGTAAGGTTTTCAAAACAAATTACGCAAAGTGGAATGGGTTCCTTTTCATCACCACTCTACGAGAAGCTAAATTTAAGGTATTCTTTGTCGTATTTTCCGATTAATCGGTTTTGAAGAAGTTTCGTCTTCGATAATTTCATGAGTTTGCGTTTAGAACATCCGGGTTGCAACCAGTGATCCATAATCTTGATTATTAGATATACACATTATATTTTATAAAAATAAATAAAAAACAATAAAACGTACTAAAGAAGGCATCTACTGAAGATTTTTACTTGAATGCCCGGGGAATCACGGCGTCCGGCGACTCGGCGCCAAAAAGTAACATATATACAGGAATAACAAATTTTTAATTTTTTTTAATGTTTAATCAAAAAATAGTTAAAAGTCTGCTGCACCAGGCGTAGGAAAAGTTCAATGCAACGTGTACCCCCACCAAACTGTTCCTGTACCCCTGGTGGTACGCGTACCACAGTTTGGGAAACACTGCTCTACACCAACAATTACATGGCGATGATTTCGAAAATCGCGTGCGATTTTGTACTTAGGCTATGGAAAAATTAAGATTGAATGAAAAATTTTTCTTCAATGTACTATTTTCCGACGAATCCTGTTTCACCAATCACGGCCAAGTAAATCGTCATAACATGCACTACTGGTCACATGAAATTCTTCGTTGGCTAAGATAAGTTGATCATCAAAAACCTTGGTCAGTTAATGTCTGGTGCGGCATTGTTGGCAGTAAAATAATTGGACCTTTTTTTATTGACGGCAATTTGAATGGCAGAAAGATCGGAATTTTTTGTTGAACGATTTACCGGTTTTGTTGGAAGACTTTACTCTGGAGCGAAGACTTGCGCTATGGTATCAGCATGATGGATGTCTATCTCATTATGCTCTAGCCGCAAGAGAAGTTTTAGACGAATGTTTCCTGAAAAATGGAAAAAAGACCGGTAATGGACCGGTGAATTGGCCAGCTAGATCACCCGACTTAACTTCTCCCGATTTCTTTCTTTGGGGTTACCTCAAAGAGAAAGTTTACAACCAGGTTCCAACAACACCAAACGATATGAAAAACCGTATCAGAGCAGCTTGCGAATCAATAACTGAAGAAATGCTTGGCAATGTGCAGAGAACGTTTTCAATGAGAATTCAGAAATGTTTAGAAGTGAATGATCATCATTTTGAGCATTTAATCGATGTGTAAAGGGAACTTTATAAATTTTAATCAATGTTCTAAGGTGATTTCAAAAATGAAGAAGAATTTTAGTACTATTTTACGATTAATTAAATCGTTTTTTTATTAATTAAATTTTTTTAATTACATTTTGAAAAATGTTGTCCATCTACAATCATTGCCCTGGCGCATTCTTTACGAATTACATGCCATTGATGATAAAATTCAATTTTTTAATGAAAATATATTAACGCTTTTGGACCTACATGCACCTTTCAAAACTGTAAAATTACAAAACCTAGTGCCCCGTGGTTGTCCAATGAGGTTAGAGTGGCCATGCGAACCCGAGATACATTCTTTCAAACCTTTAAACGCTCGCGAAGTACCTTACATTGGCAGCAGTATAAGTTAGCGCGTAACATGGTTACTAATATGCTTCGTAATTGTAAAAAAGACTATTTGCAAAAGTTTTTGGATGCAGGTAGCGTGGCTGGGTCTTGGTCTGCGTTGAAGAAGACTAATCTAGTTAAATCCAAACATAGAGCACTACCTTACCATTTTGCGGATGCTTCTGCCATTAATGACTATTTTATTGGCTCGATTCCCAACACGAATAATACAGTTATTGGAGATATTTACATGGGCGTAAATGAAAATTTAAGTAGTTCTCTTAAACAGTCAGCGGAGTTGTAGGATGACATTTTCAGTGTTCTTGAAGCAATTAGATCTAATGCAATTGGATCTGACGAAATATCTATTAAGTTGTTAAGGCACTGTATGCCATTTTTATTGCCTTACATCACCCATATTATTAACTTTTGTATTAAAAACGGCGTTTTCCCTACTGCATGGAAACTGGCGGTTGTGCTTCCGATACCGAAAGTAGCGAATCCAATTCTCACGTCTGGCCTGCGTCCAATTAGTATCCTAATCGTAATGTCAAAGGTTTTAGAAAAAATTGTTAATGTACAATTGCAACAACACGTCGAAGTAAACATGATCCTGCCAAACGTTCAATCCGGGTTTAGGCATGGTCATAGCTGTACTACTGCTTTAGCGTGTGTCACCGATGATATATTAAGTGCGACAGATAGCGGTTATATGACCATTCTTATCTTGTTGGACTACACAAAGGCTTTTGACACGGTAAACCATAAGCTTTTGCTAACAATTCTTAAATACTACGGTTTAGACGCTTCAGCGATTTCTTTCTTTGAAAGCTACATGAGTGGTCGACAACAGTTTGTACAGTTGCCTAACCATCGATCCACGGTGCGACAGCTCAAGGTGGGCGTGGCGCAGGGTTCGGTGCTTTCCCCAACTTTATTTTCAATCTACACAGCGCCATTAAATAACATATTTAAGCATTGCAAAGTACATTTTTATGCAGATGATACGCAAGTATACATACACAAGCCGCAAGAACAACAACACTATCTTAACTTATTGAATACAGAGCTAAGACAACTTGTTTTAGCTGCCACCCAACATGGCTTGGTATTCAATCCCAACAAATCAAAGATTATGGTATTTGGTCGTGAGGTGGATGTGCAGCGGTATAGTGGGGATATCCGGGATGTACTCAACGATACTACTCTCCCTATTGTGACGGAGGCGCGCAATTTGGGTCTGGTATTGGATACAAATTTGCGATTTCGAAAGAACGTGTCTACTATGCTACAAGAAGTATATGCCAAGTTAAAATCTCTTTATCCGTCTCGTCATCTTTTTGACGTTAAAACTAAAACCTTACTTTGCAACACGTTGATTTTATCTAAATTAAATTTTGGGGATGTTGTGTATGGACCATGTTTACTTAAGTTCGATGAACAACGGATTCAGAGAGCACAGAACGCTTGCTTGCGATTTATTTTTGGAGTTGGAAGGTTTGAAAGAACTTCATATACTTCTCCACAGTTGTGTTTTTTACCATAATATTGTTCAGAGGGAAAAGCCTGAATACCTGCGCCGTAATATTCAGTACCACACTGATGTTCACAATTTGAATTTGAGATTCAGGGGGATTCTATCACCGCCCTTTCACCACACTGAAGTATTCAAGAGGAGCTTTCACTATCAAATTGCAAAAGTGTACAATAATATACCCTCTGAAACAATCCAACTGGCAAGCATGTCCACCTTTAAAAAGCATATTTATGGTGACTTATTTGATCAACAAATGGCTCAGTTAAACTCTTAATTTTTGCGACTAATGGCAGCGCTGAAATGACTACAGATACGACCCAATGTCCGCATTTGCTTCTTATGTTTTATTTAATTTAATTTTTGTTTTGTTTTTTCTCTTTCTTTTAATTCTTTTTCTGCTTAAGTTGAGCAGTGCTTAGGCACTGAACTTCGCCTTTTCCTACCTTATATGCCATTTATTTTATGTTTCTAATATATTTAGTAAAATTGTTGATTTGTTATTGCATTGATAGGTATGAATAAAGTCAATATTATTATTATTAAGCAAAAAATACTTAGTTCGTTAAGTTGTTCAAGATGTTGAAAGAAAAAAGTATATGTGCGATTTGAAAAAATTAAAATTACGTCAGAAGGGCCTTTAGGCAACCCTGAAAAAAAATCTGCTCATGTGTACCCTACTTTTTTCGATTCGAGTTTTGGTTTTCGAGATATAAGCATATGTCATTTTAAATGAAACAGCCTGTATATTAGTGTGTTCTACAATTCTGTCAATCGAGTATAGATCAAACAATTTTAAAAACACATCTATTTCGGAAAATATTTACGATAATATATTTTTTGACTTAGTTTTTGACTGATGGGTTGTAGGCGAACTAAACCAAAAAGTGTCACTATTTTTTCCTTGTGGCAAAAAAACTTCGAAATCAGATGTCATCGCCAGGTCCTCTTCACTTTCGTCTCCTGATTGTTCGTCGTCACCTTCGTCTCTCTCCTCCAAAATAGTTTCTTCTTCACCTTCACTATCGTCTGTAAAATCGTAAGGATCTTCTTGCTGCTCTTGCATATCATGGCGAGAGAGTTCTTGAAGTACTCGCTCATAATCCTGTAAGTAACATAATACTGTACAGGCATATTTTTTTTTAATTTCACGTGGTACATTAAGTAGGCATCCCATTTAAAGAGTACCTAAACCGTTCAGGGATGTTTCCAAGAAATAACGGTTTTATGACATAATTTAAAAAAATGCGGTACTCTGTATCGCGGCTCGTGTAGCTAAGGGTTAACACATGAGGAAAATGTTATTTTGTATGAACCATAGCAATAAAGTTATGTCATTATTATTATTATTGTCCTACAATAGGAAAAAGAATCTAATATTGGTCTCAACCGATCTGCTGAAGACAACTTAAAAATCTTAAATCCAATATCCGTGAGACTTGAAGAATCTTGACAAATTGCAAAAAAAGTGCTTCTCTATCTGATGTTGTAGAAGTGTGGAAGAAATTATAATGTGCATTTGAGGAAAAATTTGAATTATCTGTCTCAAATACGTNTTTACTTGGATGCCCGGGGAATCACGGCGTCCGGCGACTCGGCGCCAAAAAGTAACATATATACAGGAATAACAAATTTTTAATTTTTTTTAATGTTTAATCAAAAAATAG